CGAATGGACGTTAAACTCTCTCTCTCTCTCTCTCTCTCTCTCTCATCCGATTTTATCCAAGTCGGGGAATTTTGATTTGATTTTCTTAATCAAATGTTAAATAACCAATCTGAGTACATAATGGCGTGGATTAAGCCATGAGATATTTGATATTTTTCTAAAAGATAGGTTGCCAGGCAACGAAACATACGCCCACAGCGACAGCAGCTAAATCGTCCGGGCTGTCAACAAGAGTTGTAACATATTTTTACTTTTTTCACTAATGAAACATTTATAATACACTAAAATCTGATTAAGAGTAACAACTCATTAAGTAATTATCAGAAAATCATTAGAATTTGTTTGGTTTTTATAAAGTTCTGCCCCATGCTAATGTTTAGCATATGAAACATTTAATATCATGAATTTAGCTGATTCATTGAAAATCAATATACCTCTTCGTCTCAGGGCTTTAAACACTGTGTGTAAAGTAAAAGTCAATCGGATATTATCTTTAGCCTCTAGAGCATCCACAAGATATTTTGAAGTGATCAAGGGCCATAACTCTGGCAGTAATTATCGGAAATAGCGAGAAATCAATAGGCTTCTTCGTCTCATAACCTTAAACTATGTGTATAAATTTAAAGTCAATGGGATATTAACTTTAACCTCATGAGCGTCCAGAAGATTTTTAAAAGTGATCAAGGGCCATTACTCTGGCGGTAATTATCGGAAATCGCTGAAAATCAATAGGATTCTTCGTCACATGACCTTAAACACTGTGTATAAATTTAATGTCAATTGGACTTTAGCCTCTAGGGCGTCCACAATATTTTTGAAGTGATCAAGGGCCATAACTCTGACAGTAATACTCGGAAATCGTCGAAAATCAACAGGCTTCTTCGTCTCGAGACCTTAAACACTGTGGACGCCGGACCGACGGACGGACGGCGGCGACGACAATATGCGACCACATTTCAATGTGGGCGTATAAAAACGCAAATCACCCACCGTTGCTTTAACTCTTAAACAAAAAAAACAAGCCAACAGTGAGGCTGATATCCCCCGCCGCAATCCCAAAATAAATAGATGGCACATATTAATTAATTGCACATTTATCTTTTTCCAAAGTATCGAGCAATCAAACTGATTATCAGCTATACACTATCACTCTCTATCTAGGATGGGTTATAATTAAGGGAGGTTCCACCCGGAGCCGTAGAAATTCTCATCTGGTTTTTCCAATCCAGTTTTTTTTTTTATTCTGAACAAGAATATATGAGGTAAACAGGCTGTAGTCTGAATATTTTTCCGTGAGGGTACTTTTTTCAATATAGTGACTATGTGGGTTAAATTAATAACAATGATGCATGTTTGACCACTTTTTGCTTTAGTTTTTATTAGAGTTATTCCCAAACAGACTCTTGAAAGTGATAAAAAGAGAGGACGCTCTTCAAATGGCCGCCAAAAAACGTAGATAAAATATCAAACTCAATCAAGGTTTTGAAGTATCTGGTAGTGAAACTATACACTAAGTTTCATCAGTCTCCATCAGTTAGAATCGAAGTTATCTTGTCCGAAAGCATCGACCAATGAAATTACTTAGCACTGCTGAGCTTTAGCAGAAAATGTTAATCATTGAACTCAGTCAAGACATTCCCCTATTGAATATCTAAACCAAGTTTAAAGGAGGCGAGTCTTTAACTCAATATCACCTACAGTCTTCGACATTTAAAACGCGACTTATTGGTCCATTTAAATCAACGTTGATGTTGTTCTCTTACCGTGAAAGATGGGCCTCTAATATCCAATATCAAAGACAAAACGAAAATTTTAAAATTGTAATGAAGCGACTCGATGAACAAGGCTAAACAAATTCCAAAAGAGAATAATCCATTGACTTTAAATTTATACACAGTGTTTAAGGTTATGAGACGAAGAATCCTATTGATTGGAATAACCAGACGCTAGGGATTGCCATTCGTTTGAGACTTCTGGCGTATTTCGCCGAACATAACTGATTAGAAATTGGAGTAAAAACAGAAACGATTGAATGTAAATCAGTTTATATACATTCATATTACATCATTATATGCGTTGCGACCCACTTTTGTCCATTTCTAGGTACCAGAGAATACAGATTCGGCTCCTTTAAACATTTTACCTCAATTAAAAGCAGAGTTGTTATGTTCCAAAGTCTTGACCAATCAAATTGCTTATCACTACTTAGCCTAAGCAGAAAATTCACATCATCAAACTTAGTAAAGGCATTGATATAATGAATCTATTCATCGCTCTCGCCCGATTAAAACCAAAGTTATTGTGTTCCAAAGTCGCAATTAACCAATCAAATTACTTATCTCTTCTTGGCCTTAGCGGGAAATGCAAATGAACGAACATTGTCAAGGCATGAACCTAATAAACACCTACATCAAGTTTGAATATTGTACCTCAATTAGAAGGAGAGTTATTGTGTTTCAAAGTCTCGACCAATCAGATTAAAGTCTCTACTAGCCTAACAAGAAAATCCTCATCATCAAACTTAGTCAAAAATTAGAATCAAAGTTATCGAGCTCCAAAGTCTCGATTAATCAAATTGCTTATCGCTCAGCTAACCTGTTTAGAAAATGCTCAGTATCAAACTCAGTCAAGGTATTGATATAATGAAACTATAAAGACAGACGGACAGACGGGCAGGCGGACGGGCGGACCCATTTTGATAGTTCCTTGCTTTCTTCGAAAGGCGGGAGGCAAAAGGCCGTGTTTTCGTAATGAAATAAAACATGTCTCTTATTTCTTTTTTTCTCGTCCACGTGACCTGCAGAAAATTTAATTATACGTCCACAATGAAATGTGGTCGTGTATTGTCGTCGCCCCCGCCCGCCCACCCGTCTGTCGGTCCAGTGTCAACAATTGCTTGTGGACGCTCTTGGCTTTAAATTTATACACAGTGTTTAAGGTCATGAGACGAAGAAGCCTATTGATTTTCAATGATTTCCGATAATTACTGTCGGAGTTATGGCCCTTGATCACCTTGAAAAATCTTGTGGGCGTTTTAGAGGCTAATGTTAATGTCCGATTGACTTTATATTTATAAAGTGTTTAAGATCATGCGACGAAGAAGCCTATTGATTTTCAACTATTTCCGATGATTGTGGCACTTGATATTAAGTGTTTTGTATGCTAAATGTTAGAATAGGGCAGAACTAGAAGCCAAATGGGTTGTTACTCGTTATCATATTTCAGTGTGTTGTAAATGTTTTCATTTCTGACAAAAGAAAAAAATATGCGACAACAGTTGTTGACTACCAGACGACTTAGCCGCTGTGGGCGTATGTTTCGTTGCCTGGCAACCTATCTTTGAAGTACGAACCGGTTGCACACACTTGGTATTCATGTTCTTGGTCTTCTTGTTCTTAATAAAGGGCCTAAGGCTCTGCGCTAACAACATGAAAACTGATATGCTGGTCCTTTGTTCGATTGACGTCACTTATTTAAAGAGGGTCAAGGCGACACCATGCTTGTTTCCTGGATCATGTATGGTCATAAACATATATAAATATATCTTTATGCATGCAACACTTACGTTTTGAATGTCGACCATCCCATTAGGTATGATACAGATTATATGATATTCTAATCGTGTTTTCAAATGACGAAAAATAACACCCTTGTTATTTAATTAATTGCAAGCTTAATAAAAAATTCCACATACGATTACATCTGCTTTTATTAGAAACATGATATATTCTATTACTCATCATTGCCAATATAATAATATAGCTTTCATATAGTCTGCTGTTCAACAACATATACATTACCGGTATTAAATTTTTAATGTTTTTGTTTGGTATATGTTTGGGCACTTAGTCTGGCTGGAGAAAGGCATCCCGGTGGGGCAAATTAACACGACCCGGTATATGAATAGCTTCTAGGTTAAATACAGCGATGCGGCTAGACTTGTCTGAGATACCATCATAAGTGGAAGCGGGCGTTAAGCCCGAGGAACGATTCTGAAACGTAGGAGTGGGATTTGATTTTCCGGTGTGGTTTACCCTGGTTAGTGGTGCCGGGCGGAAGGTCTGACAAGGAACAGTGTCTAGTCTTTCGGATGGGAAGAAAAATCCAAGGTTGCTGTACACGTAAAAAAAAACCCTTCGAAATAAGAGTAGGCCGAAGCACCCATGTCCGGGCAAATTATTCCCATAATACGTTTAAACTTAATTTGACTGAAAGTGGCCGTCTCCGTCTACTCTTCATCGAATTCAAAATGGCAAGAGTTATTTTACGTGTGCACAAAGCACCTCTTCCTTTCGTCCATTGCTAAAGACTAGATTCCCCGGTTGTAGCAGGTTCGCCTGTCAAATCTCGTGGGTTTTCTCTGGGTCCTCCGGTTTCCTCCCACTGCTAAAGACCCCTACGCACAAGCGAATTATTGAAATAAAATTGAACCATATGTTAGACCCGAAATGACCTAGTTTGTGTCGGGTGGACGTTAAACCCCATTTCTCTCTCTCTCTCCTAAAGACTTGAAGCCGTCCTGCACCATTGACAAGGGGACATCACTCTGGTACTCTCCTGGCCAACACTGGGATCAAACCCCGGGTCACCTGGTTTGTGACTCGGCTCCTTACTGAGTAACGAGAGCCTCCCACGAAGTAAGACGTTGGTTCGCTAACCCGAAGGTCCCGTGTTCGATCCATGCGTTGGTCGAGAAAGTTCATCGGAATTTTCCGGCGTGGTTTCCTCTTGTCAGGGGTGCAAGACAGAGGCCACGTGTACACACTAAAAAATTCATTGGCAGTTGGAATTCGATATGAAAGTAGGGATTAGTGGCGTTACGTGGTGTGGCAAAATTTCGCTCCACTCGGTAGCATCCTACATCTAGATGCAGAGTAACGGAATCCTCTGAGGTTTGCCGAGTGAATTTCCCATATAGCACATTGCATGGCATATGCCCTTCATTAGCCCAGTCGGAGCAGAACAGTAAGACGTTAAACCCCATTTCATTTCTACTTTACCTGTCTTCGAGCTTTAATAACGCACGCTCAACATCATTACATAATTCAGGTTGTCGATCAGCAACTCTTTTAAACAGCTGTCTGTAAAAACATGAAAGGTAAAACAAACATGGTATATTGCGCAGTGACCTAGATATAGTCGAAGAGTGGTAAGTGCTAAATGATAAGGCCAGGTCATAGGTCACGAGATGTAAACAGGGCTAGCGCTAATCCAACCCTACCCCTAGCCATGGACCTGGCCCCAATGCTTACCCTAACCCTAACCTACAATCTCGCCAAAAATCACGTGCCCTAACCTTATTTACATCTCAGCGACCTTGACAAAAATTGAAATGGCCTTAACAAATAGGTTTAGCCTCGGAGAGTAACGGGGCACGACCGCTTCCCCTAGGTACATTTGTCAAGTGGCGCCTTTTCAACAGTTTTTTTGAAACAATATAGTTCACGTGGGTGATTATCGTTTCCGATTTACGAGCAAAGCAGAATATATGAGAGAGAGAGAGAGAGAGAGAGAGAGAGAGAGAGAGGGAGGGGGGAGGTAACGTCCACTCGAAACAAACTAGGTCATTTCGGGACTAAGATATGGTTTATTTTTATTTCAATAATTCGCTTGCGCGTAAAGGTCTTTAGCAGTGGGATGAAACCGGAGGACCCGGGTAAAACCCACGAGATTGGACAGGCGACCCTACTCCTTGTCACGTATAACCGGGGATTCGAAACCACGTCAGTTGACTCAATGAAAGGCCTTATGATGTAGTGCGTACGTACTAACCATTCGGCCATCCACCCCCCCTCGGGCAAAGCAGAATATATGTATAGTGTATCTTTGTATATATTTTATTATATAATTTTAGTTAAAGTAGCTAAGTCTCTAACTCAATATCATCCAAAGTCTTACACGTTGAAAACACGAATTATTTGTCAATTCAAATCAACATTTAAACATTTAAAAGTAAACATTTTACCATAGTGCGTTTCAGCGCCATTTGTAACAAGTGACCAGAAAGAACGAGACTAGACATATTCAACAACTCATGTCATACGGTGAGGCCATATCTTATCTGGAGAGCATGCGCAATAGACTGGAATAACCAGATGCTAGAAATTGGCATTCGGTTGAGACTTATGCCGTATTTCGCTGGACATAACTGATTTGAAATTAAGAGTCAAAACAGAAACAATTGAATGTAAATCAGTTTATATACAATCAGATATTATATGCGTTGCGACCCATTTGGGTCAATTTCTAGGTCCCAAATATTACCGATTTAGCTCCTTTAAAGTAGTAATTAACCAATATCCGAATTGATATCTCATTAATTATTTAAGTTTTTTAACTGTCTGAGTTTATATTTAATGTAACGAGATATATATTAATTATAGTTAACACGCGTTCTTGCTGTGTCGATATCATCTTTGTATTTAAACATACGTTTCTGACATTATCAAATATTATATCATTATTTTAATCCTAAGCTTGAATATATGTTACATATTCTACTGTAACTTTAGTCTGGTGACCGCCTCGCCCTAGCGATACCTATCTTGTTATTGTGACCGCTAACCAGTTTTGGACACTCATTGATTAAATATACATTATGGGAGATTAGATAAAGAGCTGGCAGTTCTCACTAAAATAGTTAAAAACTAGATAATGTAAAGGGAATTTTCTGAAAATATCAGTCAAATTGATCCACTCTGAACCAATAATTTAGCGATTGAATTTTGCTAGCCTCGATCATCATTACTAAAGTCGGTACGATAAAAACATAGTCTCGATTATTAAGTTTTTGATCAAATCAGCAGCAGAAGATCGGGTTCTAATCCAGTAAATATCGCAGGCTAGCGATGACACCGAGAGTTGCTTATGGTCTAGATAAATTAATTGCGATGACATTGAGAGTTGATTATGGTCTAGATAACTTTAATAATGTCTAATTAATAATTTAGATAACATTTAAGGCCTAAAGAAAGACCTGTAATTGGCAGATTTAGCTCTTGCATAATGTATGTTTAAAAGCACAATTTATCTCGAATTACCGTCGTTAGTGTTGGAATAAGCTACAACCCCCAACAGCACTTCGAGATATGTATAAAATACTTGTATCCGTTTCAATGGAAGTGGTTGTTTGTTTCTTGCATAAATTTATCCAGATCGAGAAAGAAAAGAGAGTTGAGGAGCGACGAGGAGATGGGATACAAACTAAATGAAATGGGGTTTACCTTCCTACTTGTCTGCTCCGACTGGGCTAATGAAGACGGGCATACGCTATACAGTGTGCTATGAGTGAAATTTTGCCCGGCAGCGGCGCTACAGCCTACTCTTATATCGAATTCCAACAGTCAGGGGTTGGGACACAAACTAACATATAATATGGTTCACTTTTTTTTTTAATAATTCGTTTGCACTTAGCCTTAGCAGTTGGGAGGAAACCGGAGGATGTGTGAGAGAGAGAGAGAGAGAGAGAGAGAGAGGGGTTTAACGTCCACTAGACACAAACTAGGTCATTTCTGGACTAACACATGGTTCAATTTTATTTCAATAATTCGCTTGCGCGTAGGTGTCTTTAGCAGTGGGAGGAAACCGGAGGATCCGGAGAAAACCCACGAGGTTGGACAGGCGACCCTACTCCTTGCCACGTACAATCGGGGAATCGAAACCTCGCCAATTGACTCAATGACAGACAGTATGATACATCGCGCGCGTGCTAAACATTCGCCCCCCCCCCCCCTGCACACAGGGAACTATCTAGTCTGATTACAGACAGATCGCGTAAGTTCAATTACTAAGACGCGTGCGTTAGATCATTCGTCCGTCTCTCATCGCTGGTCATATGATCTAAGGCGAGGCGCGTGTCCAGCGCGTTCTCTTCCACATTCATAGAAATAACGCCGTCTTGGCTCACTCCCCGAATAAGCAGAATTATTGTCTCAAAGCTTCTGATTTGATCAAATTCGCGGGGGGTCACGGTGGCTAAGTGGGTAAGACGCTGGCTCGCTAGCCTGGAGGTCGGGTGTTCGATCCCTGCATTGGCCGAGAAAGTTCATCCAGATTTTCCGACATGGTTCCCCCTTGTCAATGATGCCGGACTGAGGGCCTGACAATTTGATAGAAGAGTAGGCCGTAGTGCTGCTGTCCGGGTAAAATTTCCCTCAAAGCACACTGTATGGTGTTCGGAGCAGATCAGTAGGTCCTTAAACACCATTTAATTTCATTTCATTTCAAATTCGCGGGTAGTCCCCCCCCCCCCGCGCGGGCGGACTTAACTTCAAACTTGACGTTGTCTCCACCTTGGACCCGCACCCGCCGCTGCTCAAATCCCTGGACACGCCCCTGAAGGTGCATGCGTTTGGCCACTCGATTATCGTATGCCTACCTGATCGAAGATTTCATTATTCTCCTGACATAATCTTTTGTTGTTTTACAAATCGGTTTCCATTTAGCTTCTCGTATTGCTGAAATTCTTCTTTGGCAAACATACATTCCTTTAGCTGAATAAAATACACAGAGAAATAGGAAATGAAATGAAATGGGGTTTAACGTCCTACTGTTCTGCTTCTATACTGGGCTAATGAAGACGGACATACGCCATACGCCATTTCGCCCGGGAAGCGGCACTGTGGCCTACTCTTTAATCAAATTCCAACGACCAAGGGATCTTTTACGTGCACGCCAATGTATACACGGGATTCAGGCTAGCAAGCCAGCGTCAGAGCAATATAACAACAACAATATCATCAATGACCTAATATGTTCTCTTTATTTTATTCACGTTCTAACTCTGTCAGTGGTAGAGGACGGAGGGCCTGGCAAGGGAAGCGAGAGGGAAATGGGGTTTAACGTCCACTCGACACAAACTAGGTCATTTCGGGACTAACATATGGTTTAATTTTATTTCAATAATTCGCTTGCGCGTATGGGTCTTTAGCAGTGGGAGGAAACCGGAGGACCCGGAGAAAACCCACGAGGTTGGACAGGCGACCCTACTCCTTGTCACGTACAACCGGGGATTCGAAACCACGCCAGTTGACTCAATGATAGGCTTTATGATACAGCGCGCACGTGCTAACCATTCAGCCATCTAACCCCCCGCCTGGCAAGGAACAACGTATATAGTCGTTAGGGAGGAAGGAAAACTGGAGTCCCGTGTACACTAGGTAATTTCGGGACTAACACATGGTTCAATTTTATTTCAATAATTCGCTTGCGCGTAGGGCTTTTTAGCAGTGGGAGAAAACCGGAGAAACGCGGTTGTAGGTCGGTCTTCGTTTATCTGCCCATGTCATTCTCAAACCAGCAGACAGCGTTGACATTTAATTGGTTCTGCTTTTTCAATTAAGTGATACTCATTTTGAGCACGTTTGAGCGTGAATTGGGTCGTTTAAGGGGACTCAGTGGGTCCTATCCTGGAGGCCCGGGCATCGATCCCGGTATTGGTCGAGTAAGTTCACGGGCATTTTTCACCCGGTTTCTCCTGGTCTATATAATGGTACAGGACGGAGGGCATGGTAATTCATTGGTAATGAATAGCACCTAGTCGTTCGGATGGTACGCAAACCCGCGGTCTCGTGTACACCACTTGTGATGCACATAAGGGTGGAACAAGGATCTACGGTTCTGTACAAATTGCCCTTAATAACGGCAAGTTGAAAATGGGTGTAACCACTCAGATGAACTCCACAAGACACTTGTTTATGGGGCATTTATATATGTTTAACCCGCCGTTTGCTCTGGGAAAAAACCCAGTGTGCTGCTTTGTACAGCATGCTTTCAAGCTAAGGGATGTGGCACCCACTTCTATATTAATAAACCAAAATATAACCAACAATTTAAAGATCTCTTTTTTCACGTTTAGCTAAAGCGACTATGACATGACTAGAAATGGTTCCATTCCACTACTGATGTCTTCCGCCTTACTCCAGCCACAGTTTAACGGTACGACATTTGTAGCTATGACATGACGTATTCAAAACTTTGGTTTATATTTTGTACGTACTCTCTTATTTAATGTATATATTAATGTACATTTCATCCACTTTATACATTTTTCATCCAATTTTTTATGTATCATACATAATGCATAAAGTATAATTTAATGCATGTTGCCCGAGAAGGGGGTTTTATGTAATGTAATTAATATCTAAATATATATATATATTATATCAAACTTGACAGTTAGAATTAACACTACTGCCCGGCCAAAATTTCCCGTATAGTACACGACATTAGGGCAAGACGGAAGACAGGCCACGAACCATTTCTAGGGGGCAACTAAGTTTGTTGACACGGCTCAATACAATAAGTTAGTGTAGTGGTAAATCAGGCTAAATCTATTTGTTAAGGCCAGCTCAATTTTTGTCAAGGTCGTTGAGATGTACATACGGTTAGGGCACGTGATTGTTGACGAGATTGTAGGTTAGGGTTAGGGTAAGCATTGAGGCTAGGTCCAGGGTTATGGTAGAGGTTGGGATTAGCGCTTGCCCTGTTTACATCTGACCTGTAATACGAAAAATTAACCTGGCCTTATCATTTAGCACTAACAGGTAAATCGAGACTAGTAAACAAATAATATTATTACCACTGCAACTTTTCTTTGGCGACTCTGGCTCCCGGTTTTTACGCAATGCATTTTTATCCTGAGGAACGTGTGATGGATTCCTTTTGGTATATTTAATTTTAGCCATGTAATTAGATGAAAACTCAACAAGAGTGTTTCTGGCAATTTTAACAAGATTTCTGTCCCTTTAATATTTCAAGCGGAGTTACTTTTCCTTGAATTCCCCAAATGGCTGGATAATGGTGACTTGGGAGAAATTGCTGTTGTTTCAACCAAAAACAAAAGTCTGGATAATTGAAATTCGCACGTGTATTATGTCTGGATAATCGGTCGTAATGTTTACAAAATTTCCGCGGGTAAATGAAAATGGTAAATGATAGGCTACGTGAATCAAAAAAAACCCCCCAAAACATGAACTAAACATATTATCTCCGTGAAATGTAATTCCCTAAATATCAATATTATGTATTTTAAATCTTCCTACGGTTTCCCGGCGTCTGATAGGTCTACGTCTGTTTTGACGAGGTTGGCCAGAGAGAAATAATTACCATATTAATATATATTATAATTTTATGCGTGCGTGATCATATATTTTGATTACTACGGTATAAATATAGTTATATATAATATCATGATAAATAACTATATACAGCTACTGCACCGAGCACGTGGATCCTGACGCAATCTGATTAAAACACAGATCCTATTTCCTTTCGTTTTTTATAGTTCAAAATTTCGTTTTGTTTACTTCAAACTTGTCTTTTTTTAGTCACTAGCTAGGATCAAGAAGAGTTCTTATATAACCCCGCATTCTGGATGATGTGAGGGATTAGCTAATGAAACGGTCTGTATTACGGCGAGCTTGTGGCATGAGGTGCACGGAACTGTGGGTAATCCACTTATAGAAACATCAATGTTGATTGGTTGATCAAATGTCTGATGTCATCAGGTCAAAAGCCACTCGTGTATAACCTCTAACCTAACGTGACCTCCCAAAATAACTGGTCAGATCTTCATGTAGTGTAGGTCATCGAAAGATTAAAAAAAACAAAAACGAAACGATATATAGATCTGGGCCCTTATTCACGAAAACTTAAACTAAGTTACAACCGAAATTTTAAGAAATACTGCTACTTCATTGGATATATGCAAATTGATTTTACTGGTCAGCCAATCGAATTGCAGTATTTCTTAAAATTTCGATTGTGTCTTAGTTTAAGTTTTCGTGAATAAGGGCCCAGTATTTTAACTAGATTGTTCATGATGAGGTCAGTGTCTAGTTGTATGTATATATATATATATACTGATGTCCAAAAGAAAGTATACACACTAAAAATATGATCAAGTTTTGTTTAGGTTAAAAACATTTGATAAAGCATTACTGAGTTTGTCTCTTGCGTCCAAACTCAGCATTTCTAAGCAAAATAAAAATGTGACACAAATTGACATTCTACCCAAATACCGTATACCATGGAAAAACGACTTTGGTTTATGCAGCACAAAATGCACAGTGTATACTTTCTTTTGGACATTAGTATATATATTACGAAAAACCTAGGTTCCGTGGATAGTTGAATGGAATGCAAAGTAATAGTCTTTAGTGCCGCTGCCCTGGCAAAATTTCCCTTACAGCACACTGTATGGCGTAAGCCCGTCTTCATTAGCCCAGTGGTCCGAAAATTGTTATAAACACATGCGCACTTTGGCTTTTGTAGATTTTTTCTTGTGCCATGCGATGGCTCACCGAGTAGGATGTTGACTCGCTAATACATATATGTAGAGGTCTCGTATTCTATCCCAGTGTTGACCGAGAAAGTTCATCAGGTGTAGGATGGAAGGCCTGGCAAGTGAACATATATAGTAGTTCGGATGGTACAAAAACCAAGAGTCTGTGCGTACACATTAACAATTTGTGTGCATATAAACAAATCCCTGACAGTTAGAATTCGAAATAAGAGTAGGCCGTAGCGCCACTGTCCGGCAAAATTTCCCTCATAGTAAATTGTTAGTATGGGATATGAATTAACATAGGAGCAGAACAGAAGGATGTTAAATTATTTCATTTCATTGTAAAATTATGGATTTATTCTATTACAGCTTGAAGGCGGGAGTCCGACCGACTGACATTGAAGCTTATCATTACCAGTTCAACATTCAGCATAAAGTACATGTAGCAGTTTGATGAATTCTATCTCTTGGAATAGTACATGTAGCAGTTTGATGAATTCTATATCTTGGAATAGTACATGTAGCAGTTTGATGAATTCTATATCTTGGAATGGGAAAACTCACTAAAGCAAAGGACAGTGATTTGGTATTACTCTTTAAATCATTATTATACCGAGAACTGGGCCCCAATACTCTTCGAAACGTCGCCCAAATAAATAAGTAGCTGTTTTTCCATAAGTATGTGTTTTTTGTGTATTGGGCCCCAATAGTTACTCATCTTGTAGATTATTAAAATGTCTTTTCTCCCTTGCACTTTTTGATTATATTTTAGTTAGAATGTCCCAAATTTATGGCAATTACGGTAATTGACTGACAGCAACTAGTAAGATCTCGGGCAAGACTGTCAAGGTCACAACCAGTCGGGCAAGACGATCAGTTTTGCTACCAGTCAAGATAGTCAAGTTTGCTACAATTCAGTCAAGACTGTCAATTTTGCTACCAGTCGGTCAAGACAGTCAATTTTGCTACCAGCCAAGACAGTCAATTTTGCTACAATTCAGTCAAGACTGTCAATTTTGCTACAATTCAGTCAAGACTGTCAATTTTGCTACAATTCAGTCAAGACTGTCAATTTTGCTACTAGTCAGTCAAGACTGATAGATAAGACGGAATCAAGAGCTCTGATACCCTGTACAAGACGTCAGATTAGTGGGCTACTTATCAATTTAATATTAGCCATTTAGATTCTTCCATTTTCCGACATGGTTTCCCCTTGTCAGTGGTGCAGGACGGAGGGCCTGACAAGGACAGCTGTCTAGTCATTCGGATGGGATGAAAAACCGAGGACCCGTGTATACATTTGCATGCAGGTAAAAGATCCCCTGGTAGTTGGAATTCGATATAAGAGTAGGCCATAGTGCCATTGCCCGGGCAAAATTTCCCTCGGGACACTCTATGGCCATCTTCATTAGCCCAGTCGGAGCAGAACAGTAGGATGTTAAACCCCCATTTCATTTCATTTACATTCTTCCATCCCTTCAATATAATCTTCCTTATAATATAATCGGGACACTCTATGGCCATCTTCATTAGCCCAGTCGGAGCAGAACAGTAGGACGTTAAACCCCCATTTCATTTCATTTACATTCTTCCATCCCTTCAATATAATCTTCCTTATTTAACTGGGATACATGTTTTCTCGATGCAAGGACTTGCAACCTCTTTTTCATAAAACTTGTTTGAGTCTGTCTATATATGGTTGATTGCAACAAGGTATCTATAAATATGTTGTTTACTACCGTTGATTGTAATATATGTCTATAAATATGTTTTTTACTACCGTTGATTGTAATAACTTGTCTATAAATACGAACAGATTGACATCAGATACTAATGTATGCAAGTTGAATTTCTCCATTTATGAATGGAATATACTTGATCTATCATCCTTGGTCTTGATTTAACTATCACATATCCTTTACCTATTTATATATACAACTATTTCCTTTATCTGTATATTTGATTTATTTTCAGAAAGGGGTGGGTAGCCCGGGTGGCCAAATGGTTAGTTGTGCACTGTATCATAAGGTCTGTCATTGAGACAACTGGTGTGGTTTCGATTCCCCGGTTGTACATGACAAGGAGTAGGGTCGTCTGTCCCACCTCATGGGTTTTCTCAGGGTCCTCCGGTTTCCTCCTACTACTAAAAACCCCTACGAATTATTGAAATAAAATTGAACTATATGTTAGTCCGGAAATGATCTAGTTTGTGTTGAGTGGATGTTAAACCCCATTTCTCTCTCTTATTTTCAGAAAGACCAGCAGTCAACAGGAAAAATATCCAACTTTTTTAAGGTAAGTGAAATGAAATGAAATGGGGTTTAACGTCCTACTGTTCTGCTCCTATGCTGGGCTAATGAAAACGGGCATACGCCATACAGTGTGCTATGAGGGAAATTTTGCTGGGCAACGGCACTGTCGCCTACTCTTATATCGAATTCCAACTGGCAAGGGATCTTTTACGTGCATTCCAATGTATACACGGGACCTCGGTTTTTCGTCTCATATTGAAGATGGGACATAAGGCACCTGTTACAGACTTTGTCTAGTACATGTTATTGCAGAGCCTACCCAGTTAACATTGATGGTTAGATTTACATATAGATTACGTCATTATGGTTAGATTTTGGTTAGTGTCCAATAATGGTAAAATTTTATGGTTAAATTTACGTTACTTTTAACGTCATAATGGTTATGGTTACTTTTACGTCAGAAAATGACGTAAATCTAACGTGAAAGTTATGATGGTTTTCTAACCAATTTTTGTCACTTTGAATGCTTCTTGATTAAATAACCATACCGGTGTGTGCACATTCTAACAATTGATAAATAGTCGGAATTAAGACATAATATATATGTATTATTGGTGATAATTCTAATGTTAGACATAAGACACCTGTCACGTACATGTTATCACAGAGCCTATACAAGTCTAGACGTAGACACCTGTCAAGTACAAATTATTACACACTGGATACAAGCCTGGACATAGATGTAAGGCACCTAGCTGTCACAAACATTGTCAGTTACAAAGTCAGGATTTGTCAGGTATGTACAATTCCTCTGCTGTGTGATAATTTGTGATTGACAAAGTCAGTGACAATTGCCTTATGTCCAGACTTGATTCACTAATAAAATATGGCTCAGGCAACGATAGCTAACCCACCTTATTCTAAAAATAAACACACTTATATGGATATATTACTTCTGAATTTTATTAACATGCTACGTTTCAAAACACATACAGGCATCGTTATCAAGCAGTTATTTGCTTGATAACGATACCTGTATGTGTATTGAAACGCAGCATGTTAATAAAATTCAGAAGTAGTATATCCATATAAGTGTGTTTATTTTTTAGTGAAATCTATATGTCTTATGAGGACCATATTATTCTCTTTAAAACAGAAAAAAGAACCTGCTAGTCTGTTTACGAAGATTGGAGCCAACAAAAAAAACCTGATCTGTGAAAATATTAAATCAGAAGTTGACAAAATCAAGGAGAAGAAGTCTTCATCTGATCGTCGATCTGCATCAAATTCTACTTGGGCAAAACCGTGTGACAAATTCCAACATAATGAGGCTTATTCCAGTGTTTCTGTCTTAGACATTTCACCAAATTTAAAGTCGAAGGAAATTGCCAAACGAGAGACTGGTCCGTCATGTGCAATTGAGAAAAATGGCACTAAAAATAATGATATAACGCCTACTAAAGTGTACAAAAACAGCACCAAACGGTTAGCGAAAGCCGGAATATCTCCAACTGCTAAGAAAGGCATTCATTCGTCTTTCTCCGAGACTGATGCTAATAAAGATTGTAAACCTTTGAAACGTACACCAGCACCGACGTCCAGTTCTAAAGATATTGTATCGTGCGAGAATGACGATATTCTGTGTGAAATATTAAATGAACTCCATTGTGAAGAGCCTAAAAATAAACAGCTAGTCGAAAAGAAGACGGCATCCAAATGTACTCCGAAAGATGAAAACAGTTTAAGGTAAGTGGAAATTCTGAAATATACTATGTATATAGTATGTGTAGTGTCTGTGACGTCACCAGCCAATCAACCGGATTAAGGTTGTAATTGAAATTTAAAAAAAAAGGGTTTTGGCTTTCGGATAGTTAAACCTTAATAGTTGAATTAATTTAAATCAGATTGGTTTTCACTTGCCATAAAATGGATATAGTAACCATTGGCTATAAGTACACGCAAATAAGATTTTTTCATCTTATGTGGTCTTTAACATCCTGCTTCTTTGCACTGACTGGTTAAGATGCTGGCTCGCTAGTCTGGAGGTTGCGGGTTTGCTCACGGTGTTGGCCGAGACAGTTCATTAGGAATTTCCAGGGTGGTTTCCCCTTATACCACTGAACAGAGGAATTCAAGATCTTTCTAAAAATATATACATTTGTATGAATTACAGGATATATTCTTATCTATATAATTTTCCTAGTTGAAACCCCAAAACAATCCCATGGTTAAAGGATTAAACCCTAATTAGGGTTTCACACTGCGCAGCCAGTGTGAAACACTATTGTTTTTGTTCGGATTCTTATTCTTATTCTTATTCTTATTATTCTTATTGTTATTCTTCTTATTATTATTATTATTATTTTTCCATTTGAGCATATCTCAGAAACTACTTGTCGGATCGATTCGATGTCTTCGGTTTTATTGGGAAAGTGGGTTTGACTTAAATTTTAAAGCTATTTCCAACGTTCTGCGACAATGCGAAATGTCCGAAATTACTGAAGTTGTCGTTTTTCGATATTTTGCCGTAATGTTATCAATAATTGTCTGATTGTAATATTTGATACATTTTGACATAGCCAGAGACAAGGCACATAGCTAAGATTCTTTGGATTTTTTATTTTCGACGAATCTTAGGCGCCAAATTTTGAAAATTTAAATTTTTACAAAAAACTTTTTTATTAATAATTATTTTTATGTGGTATTTTACCATGGGTTAAAGGGTCATCTGATTTGACAAAAAATGTCAACATTTTTTGTCACCGTATTTTTCCTTGGCCCCCCACTGGCTAATTCAGTTTTTCAGCCCTGGATTAATTAATTATTGTTCGATTTGTATAAAACAAAATTCATATGTTCCGCGGTCCAAAATGTCATTTTTTTTGTTACCGGTACATTTTCCTTTCGGCAACGGAAGTAACATAAATTAAGCAAAAACTGCAATTTTGAGAGTTCGGTACCACATTTTGAAAGCAAATATTATTTTTTTCAAATCTGGTATGACTGAAAGGGTTTGCCCTGTTAATGCGCAGAAATCATCGCGCTCAGTTTTTTTAATTTTTATTTCGTTTTCGGATCATTTCGATTTAAAGATGAAAAAGGGTGGAAAAATGAGCTATTCACAACCCATTCAGGCTTTTCATATTTTAAAATATTTCTTCGCAACTTTCATAAACTAGTAGCAATAATCCATACAAAGAGAATGTATGTGAAAATTAATTTGTAATATGAACAGTTGCCGAGAAATGGGCAATTTTGTATGAGTCACTTTTTACGCTAGTTTGCCTGTATAAGAGTCAATTATTATTTGATTTTCATAAAAGTAACACCATTTGATGCGTAATGTCAATTTTAACAAGGTCAAACCAATTTAACATTTCCAATGTCACCGGAAATGACGTAATTTGGGCAAAAATTGTATTTATAACCTTCAAAACCAGTAATTTATTCAAATGAGTCTTATTTGTTTTCTGTTTAAAATTTTGATATTTGATTTCAATCAACTAATAGAATGAACCCAAACGATCATGTAGATATCACAAAATGGTTTCTAACTTGTTCATTTGCGGAGAAATAGACGATTTTCAACAGGTAAATTTTCAAGGTTTTTGGTCCATAAAAGTGTCAATTATTATTCGATTTTCATAAAATTCCCCATGTGTGATACCTAATGCCATTTACGATTTCATACAAGTAATTTAACACTTTTAGTTTACCGGAAGTAACGTCATTGTGGCAAAAACTGTATTTTTAGCCTTCAAAACAGATATTTAATTCAAATGAGTCTGATTTGTATTGTTTTTAAAATTATGATATTTGATTCCAATCAACAAATAGAATGAACCCACACGATCATACAAATACCAAAAAATGGTTTCTAACTTGTACGGTTGCAGAGAAATAGACGATTTTCTACAAGTCACTTTTCAAGGATTTTGGTCTATAAAAGTAGCAAATATTATTCGATTTACATAAAATTTTCACCATGTGATGCCTTATGCTATTTCTGATTTCATGAAACTAATTTAACATTTTCATTATCACCGGAAGTAATGTAATGTTGTCAGGATCACTTACATGTAATGAATGTATACAATGAATTGATATTGCCGGATTTGGTTGATTCTGCATACATAATCTGTTGTTTTGTCTTTTTCTTCTATGTCTTTATTGATATTTATGGTTCGAAGTGTCAGGTACTATTTCACTGATTGAATATTGTTTGTTTTTCAGTAGATCGAAGTCGACACCTGTACCGAGGACTTACAGAGAATCAACTGTACGACCATCGGATCAGTTTAATCGGCATATTGTCATCAATATACAAAGGTAAGTTACCAAAGTGCTATAAATATACGAAGGTTAAAAATTACGAAAGTACATCAATAAATATACAAAGGTTTAAAAGGTTACGAAAGTAATAATACAATGGGGAGTATATAAAGGTTAGAAGGTTACAAAAATACAATAAATATACAAAGGTTTAAAAGGTTACGAAAGTAATAATACAATGGGGAGTATATAAAGGTTAGAAGGTTACAAAAATACAATAAATATACAAAGGTCCAAAGGTTACGAAAGTAAGACAATGGGGAATATACAAAGGTTCAAACCTTACGACAGTACAATAAATATACAAAGGTCCAAAGGTTACGAAAGTAAGACAATGGGGAATATACAAAGGTTCAAACCTTACGACAGTACAATAAATATACAAAGGTTCAAAGGTTATGAAAGTAGTACAATGAGGAATATGCAAAGGTTAGAAGGTTAGCAAATACAATAAATATACAAAGGTTAGAAGGTTAGGAAAGTAAGACAATGAGGAATATACAAAGGTTAGAAGGTTACGAAAGTAATATAACGGGGAATATACAAAGATTAGAAGGTTCCGAAAGTAATACAATGAGGAATATACAAAAGTTCAAACGTTACGACAGTACAATAAATATACAATGGTTCAAAGGTTATGAAAGTAATACAATGGGGAATATACAAAGGTTAGAAGGTTACAAAAGTAATACAATGGGAAATAAACAAAGGTTAGAAGGTTACGTAAGTAGTACAATGAGGAATATACAAAGATTAGAAGGTTACGAAAGTAATACAATGGGGAATACACAAAGATTAGAAGGTTCCGAAATTACAATAAATATACAAAGGTTCAAAGGTTACGAAAGTAATACAATGGGGAATATACAAAGATTAGATGGTTAGCAAATAGTGTAAAAGTATTTAATACGTTGTGTGAAATCTTCCACTCAAATATACCATACACAGATAACTCTATTACAAAATATGAAAGGACTCAGACCACAATAAAGCAACACTAACATTGTGGATCCTGTAGAGGTCATAATTTTATCCGATTTTGATGAAATTTACAATATATGTTTAAATCCCAAAGATTTCGGTTCCTCTCGATATTTACGCATATTGAACCCTAACTTCCTGGATTATGGCCCCCGATTGTGCGAAAAATCACTTTTTTTTAGCTTGTTCTCTGTCCATCTCTTGCAAAGTTAGGCGTATTTTGCATGGCAACCATTTGTTATATATATTTTACAGAAATCCAACTGAAGTTATATTAGATGTTAAATCGGAGAATGATGACGAGATAAAACAATGTATACTTAGAGGTTTTTGGTGAGTATCACAGCATAATATATGCCAGGAAATATTTGTATCGAGTGGAGGTGACCCCCCCCTCTCTCTCTCTCTCTCTCTCTCTCTCTCACATTCGTTTTTAACCCTTTTGCTGTTTGGAGTGGTTGGATGGCCCAATGGTTTAATGTGTGCATATTAGATCAGAAGGTCTGTCATTCTGTCAAGTGACATGGTTTTGATTCTTCGCTTGTATTTGACAAGGTTGCCTGTCCAACCCCGTGTGTTTTCTCTAGATCCTGCGATTTTCTCCTACAGCTAAGACCCCTACACGTAAGGGTATTATTGAAATATAATTTTACCATATGTTAGTCCCGAAATGACCTGGTTTGTTTCTTCAATTCAGTCTACTCTATGAAAACTACATGAAGATATATATCACTGGGGTGAAAGTGTATTTTGTATATTAAAGGTGTGATAGTCATGTTAGTGTGGGAGATATTGTAAATATATTAGTGGGGTATAAAGATGGAGTATATACCGTTGATGATAAGCATGGACTACTTGTTATAAATCCCGATTTCCTTCTATCTGGAACATCCATTGTTTCGTCAGTATTCTGTATGAGAAGGTAAGACTTTTATTATAGTATTCAGCAAACCTAGACATAAGGCACCTGTCACAGATTTTGTCAAGTATAAATTATCACAAATCGTTCATATATACAAGCCTGTACATAGATGTAAGGTACCTAGCTGTCATAAACAGTGTCAGTCACAAAGTCAGGATTTGTCAGGTATGTACAATTCTTCTGTTGTATGATAATTTGTGACTGACAAAGTCTGTGACAGGTGTCTTATGTTCAGGCTTGGTATTCAGATTTCTTACATACCACCTGAAACTTATAGTCTCAGAGCCTGATTTGAATGATATGGGGGTGGGGGGGGGCTGAATGGTTATCACGTGCGTGCTGTATCATAAAGTCAGTCATTGAGTCAACTGGCGTGGTTTTGATTCCCCGGTTGTACGTGACAAGGAGTAGGGTCGACTGTCCAACCTCATGGGTTTTCTCTAGGTCCTCCAGTTTCCTCCTATTGCTAAAGACTCCTACGCGCAAACAATTATGAAAATAAATGTGAACCATATGTTAGTCCCAAAATGACCTAGTTTGTGTCAAGTGGATATTAAACCCCATTTCTCTCTTGAATGAATGAATGATATAGGAATCCGTTGAAAACTACAATATTGTGAAATATAAATCTCTAATTGGAATATCAGTCCAAAAATTGTTCCATTTTGTATTCACAAAGATATAAACTGAAATTCCATCGATCTATGCATCTTCGTATGCAAACAGGACCACCACTGTCTTTGTGTTTTGCAAAATCTAATTAATGGACCTGTTTTTAATCCAATAGAATTGAAACCAGGAGATTATCTAGTGTGGATATTTGGATTTTGTTTTCTTAATTAATTGTTAATCTGATATTTTACTAAAAAATACAAATCACATCACATGTAGTTGATTTAACAAAAGCATCAACACGTTCATCATTGTGCTAATGTTCCACCTACATAGAAATTATAGTGACTTTTGGAACCATACGTGTTTTCTTTCTAAATCTATTTGTAACATTTTTTCTACGCATGGAAACTATAAGTTTAAGATTCTAACTTTATGATAATTAAATTGACTGACAGTTAAGTTCTCCAGGTGGTCATTTTCGCTCCAAGTCAGTCAAAAATGGACAAATATTACTAAAACAAAAGCCCAATTATCTACAAACCATGAAATCTTTACCAAAACTTTTTCTCTTCCTTTTGTTACAGATCTGTTTTAAATGAGAAATTTAAAGTAAGTATAGCAACATAAATATTTTGATTCATAAATACCACTAGATGTGTACAAACATAACTATCATATTTAGACTATCACGTATTGTTTTATGGTCGAGAACTAGACATTAAGTAATATATTGTAACAACAAGAGGACCGTAGGCCCAAGTGTTTTTACAATATATTACACAATGTATTAAGCTTAAACGACTTAAAATACAGACACTCAGCACATTCTTTTACAGTGAAATACGTCACACGAGTCCAATATTTCACTGGTATAAATAATGTACGATTGGCAAGTTGCCCGTACAATTATTTGAAATAATGGTAACCAACATCAAAGGGCGACATCACATCTGTGAATACCGGAAAACACAGGAAAAACACCAAATACCGGAAAACACACTAAATACCGGAAAACACACTAAATACCGGTAAACACCCTAAATACCGGAAAACACATTAAATACTGGAAAAAACCCTAAATAGGTAACCCAGAGCCTGGTCCTCTGTGTGCGGGGGGGTAGGTTTTTCCGGTGTTTTCCGGTATTCAGTATAACATGGTGTTTTTCCGGTAGTTTTCCAGTGTTTTCCGGTATATAGTATAGCCCGTACTAGTGGATGACCCGGTGCTGCACGGGTTGAAAGTAGTATAACCCTGAAACCGGAATCGGTAGGCCAACGCCACATAGCCTATGTTACTACCCGGTCCGAGCTACCTCTATGCACAAAATTCAGTTTCTGGGACATCCCTAGTGTAGCTGCCAACCCTGAAGGAACAGATAAACAAACGACAGTCACAAATATTAGTAATATATTGTTTTTATTTGACTAGGGATGTGATAGTAAGAATGTACATATGTTATATGGTAGTATAATACATTGTTTGTTTCAAAAGGTAAGTGTATTCCTAATTTTTTATATCATGCTAAATTTCTAACAGATAGTCAGTAATAATACTCCACCAAAACTATGATGGCATATTTTAGAGATGAAAATGTATTTTATTGAAACACTATCAGTATTTTAATATTATCACTGGTGCACAGATATTTCAAGCGATATCTAAGACAACCTTAAATTTTTAGAGAGAGGGAGAAATGGGGTTTAACGTCCGCTCAACACAAACTATGTCATTTCGGGACTAACACATTGTTCAATTTTATTTTCAATAATTCACTTGCACGTAGGGGTCTTTAGCAGTGGGAGGAAACCGGAGGACCCGGGTAAAACCCATAAGGTTGGACAGGCGACCCTACTCCTTGTCACGTACATACGGGGAATCGAAACCACACCAGTTAAATTTTAGAGAATTTCAAAACTTTAAATCCAGAGCCCAGAATCTTCAGGTTATCCATGGAGACACCTAGACTCCTGTTAATGTGATGTTAATGAAATGAAATGAAATGGAGTTTAACGTCCCACTTGTCTGCTCCAACTGGGCTTATGAAGACGGGATTACGCCATACAGTGTGCTTTGAGGGAAATTTTGCACGGACAGCGGCACTACGGTCTACTCTTATATCGAATTCCAACTGTCAAGGGATCTTTTACTTGCGCACCAATGTGTACGCAGGACCTCAGTTTTTCGTCCCATCTGAACGACTTCATTGTCCCTTAGCAGGCCCTCTGTCCTACACCACTGACAAGAGGAACCCTTTTCAGAAAATCCTGATGAACTTTCTCGGCCAACGCAGGGATCGAGTACAGGACCTCCAGGTTAGCGTGCCAACGTCTAACTCACTGAACCACTCTGTCTCCTGTGATTTTATTGTCCCTGACTGTATATAACTGAGGGTATTATAGCCTGCCTGTTGTGTTCTAATAACTTTGATAGAAACATTCATCTCTCAGACTTTGTTTCGGGTTGGATGGCCGAATGGTTAGCACGCGCGCGCTGTATCATAAGGCCTTTCATTGAGTCAACTGGTGTGGTTTCGAATCCCCGGTTGTACGTGACAAGGAGTAGGGTCGCCTGTCCAATCTCGTGGGTTTTCTCCGGGTCCTCCAGTTTCCTCCCACTGCTAAAGACCCCTACGCGCAAGCAAATTATTGAAATAAAATTAAAACCATGTTAGTCCGGAAATGATCTAGTTTGTGTCGAGTGGACGTTAAACCCCATTTCTCTCTCTCTCTCTCTCTCTCTCTCTCTCTCTCTCTCTCTCTCTCTCTTCTCTCTCTCTCAGACTTTGTACAATTATTTTTTTCCCAGATTTTGAAAAACATGACTTACAAACAGGAAGAAATTATGGATGCTGCTCAGAATGTTTTGAAACTCAACAAATTTATACATGAAATGTAAGTAGAAATGTTATTTGTGTGAAATAGCTTTATTTAACATCCGCTTCCACCGAGTTGATGTCAGAGACAATTACATGTTATATGTACATAGTATAATCATTTACAATGTGATTAGTGAAAAAAAGGGATTATTAAATATTTATATATATGTACAAAAAAAAAAAAGAATGATGGACAAGATGTTATATAACAAGTACTAATAAAATAAGTACGAATAGGGACACACATCCTACGGTACAACAGAAACATTTGACAAAACAAGCATGAGTACGGACGAGAGAGAGAGAAATGGGGTTTAACATCCACTCGACACAAACTAGGTCATTTTGGGACTAACATATGGTTCAATTCTCTCTCTCTCTCTGTAGAACGGATGACCAAAATACAACGGATGAAGATGACGACAATATACTACAGTACTCTCTCCTTTCCAGGTATAGTCAAGATTCGGATGAAACTGTGGTTTTGAGTGAAATAGAAAAATATATTCCACCTTTACAGAGTTGGGTAAAAAAACACACAGATGCTGATAAAACAAAATACAAGTAAATTCATGTTTTATTTTCTGTTTAGTTCGGGATGTTTGGATGTTTGACGTCATCTCTGTCATCATCCAAGATGGGCATATAGCATGCGACACGCTATCTTGAAATTTTCCATGACATGCTCTTATTTCGATTTTCAACTGACATGGGATCTGTAATGTGTCATCTGACATGGGATCTGTAATGTGTCAACTGTCATGTGATCTGTAATGTGTCAACTGACATGGGATCTGTAATGTGTCAACTGTCATGTTATCTGTAATGTGTCAACTGACATGGGATCTGTAATGTGTCAACTGTCATGGGATCTGTAATGTGTCAACTGTCATGGGATCTGTAATGTGTCACCTATGGGTTACATGGGACCTCATATGATATGAAAAACTACATCATGCTTTTCCTAGCCAAGCCCCCATGCAACACCACTGCCAAATGCAAGCTGGAAAAAAGTCCTGAGTAACTTTCTCGGTCAACACCAGGATCAAAACTAGGACCTCCTGGTTAGTGGGTCAGCGTCATACTCACTGAGTAACCATGACTTACTGAAAACTTGAACGTCACGTGACGTTTGGTATTGTGCTCTCCAGTAAATTTCATACCAAAGATTTAATTTAATTTTCTACTGGATAAAATTTTGTATTTTCAGCTCTACAGAAATCTGTATAAATGATGTTAAAGATATAGAGGAAAATATTTGGTCTCCAAGGTAATAACTTTTAAACATCTCCAAGGTAATAGCTTATAAAACATTTCCAAGGTAATACTTTATAAAACATCTCCAAGGTAACACCTTATAAAACATCTCTAAAGTAACACCTTATAAAACATCTCCAAGGTAATGCCTTATATAACATCTCCAAGGTAACACCTTATAAAACATCTCCAAGGTAACACCTTATAAAACATCTCCAAAGTAATACCATATAAAACATCTGCAAGGCAATGACTTATATAACATCTCCAAGGTAACACCTTATAAAACATCGCCACATAATAGTTATAAAATATCTCTAAGTTAATAGCTTATAAAGATCTCCATGTAATAGCTTATAAGACATCTCCAAGGTAATAGCTTTTAAAACATCGCCTAGGTAACACTTTATATAACATCTCCAAGGTAATAGCTTTTGAAACATCTCCAAGGTAACACCTTATAAAACATCTCTAAGGTAATAGCTTTGAAAACATCTCCAAGGTAACACCTTATATAACATCTCCAAAGTAATACCTTATATTATAACATCTCCAAAGTAACACCTTATAAAACATCTCCTAGGTAATACTTTCTTTATAAAACATCTCTTAGGTAATACTTTATAAAACAACACCTTATAAAACATCTCCAAGGTTATGGCAATAATGTTTTTTTTTACAAAAAGTTTTGTAAGCTTTGTTTATCATGCTGTTAATCCGTGAATTATCACTCAATATATTTTGTATCAATAATATTGTTATCTACTGCCTATTGATCAATGTAGATTATTATTGATAATAAGTAGAGTAGTAAAAAAGTAATTAATATAATAATTTTCTGTGTAATTAAAAATATAAAACAAATTATGAACATTAATGAAGACAGCCATATGACTTGTAGTGTGTTATAAGGGCAGTCTTATTACCTACCCTTCAGCGAATTCCAGGTATCAAGTATTTAATATTTGGCTCTATTTTATGGTTGATATTTTGATATTTTTTATTTTTGATATTTTTGATATATTTTTTATATATTTGATATTTTATGTTTGATATTTTGATATTTGATATTTGATATTTTGATATTTGATATTTGAATAGATATGGTGTTAAAGGAAAGATTGATCTAACAGTACAAGTAAAGGTAATAAACTATCAACTGTAATTACTGTGACATTTGATATGCAAGGTGGTTTGGGGGGTTTCTATGTGGTAGGGAATGTTTGGTAAGGTGTTATAATCCATTGTCATATGGGGGGGTTGGAAAACGAATGGTTAGCACGTGCGCGCTGTATCATAAGACCTGTCATTGAGTCAACTGGCGTGGTTTCGAATCCCCGGTTATACCTGACACAGAGTAGGGACACCTGTCCAACCTCGTGGGTTTTCTCCGGGTCCTCTGGTTTCCTCCCACTGCTAAAGACCCCTACGCGCAAGCGAATTATTGAAATAAAATTAAACCATATGTTAGTCCCGAAATGACCTAGTTTGGGTCGAGTGGAGGTTAAACACACTCTCTCTCTCTCTCATTCTCTCTCTCTCCATTGTTATATGTAACTTTGTGGCTCAGTTAGACATTGGCTCACGAAGCTGGATGTCCTGTATTCGATCCTTGCTTTGGCCAAGAAAGTTAATCAGGATTTCCAACGTGATTCCCCCATGTCATTGGTGCATGACAAGTCCTGGCAAGAACCATTGTATAGTCGTGCAGATGGGACAAAACACCGAAGTCCGGTGTACAAATGGCGGGCATGTAAAAGAACCCTTGGCAGTTGGAATTGGATATAAGAGTAGGCCATAGCGCTGATGTCTGGACAAATATTCCCTCATAGCACGCTGTATGGCGTATGCCAGTCTTCATTTGTGGCTTTTTGGAGTGACCTCATTGGTAGTCTCTGGTTTTCTTGATTTCCTGGGGTCCATGGTGTCAGTGAATTAGAATTGTGTTATGTTTTGGACTGACAATAGTATCCTAATGATGATATTATATTTGTCATTTTGTCATTTCACTATGACAGCCATTGTCATTTTGTCTTGTTACTATGACAGCCATTGTCATTTTGCCTTGTTACTATGACAACCATTGTCATTTTGTCTTGTTACTATGACAACCATTGTCATTTTGTCAAGTCACTATGACAACCATTGTCATTTTGTCCTGTTACTATATACGATATCTGTATAGTTTGTTTTATTTCTTCCCAGATACCATCAGGCAAAAATTCCTACCAGACTAAAACAGTTCCGTTAGAATTGAAAACTGGTCGAACAACTTATTCTGTAGAACACAAAGGACAAGTATATATATATTTATATGAGATAAATGCATTTGTACATACACATACATAATTGTTTTGAAGACTAAAGGGAGATAACTCATACATGATACATGAGGTATCAGACTAGTCAATCTCTCCCCATTGACTTCAATGTTAAATCCATGACATTTCTTGGCCTGTAACCTTTTTCTGAACATTATGATTAACTTAATTTTTATAACCAGAAAGTGCCCTAACATGTCACAATCTTCTGATAAAGATGTTAAAGAAGGTGACCTTTTTGATTTTTAGCTAGGCCTAATTAAACAAATCTCCCTAAATTGGAGAAAAAGAAAATTACTATAAATAGATTTTTATTAGTGCATGAATACATAAATGTTTGAATAAGATCCATGCATTAGTTTCGGTAAATAAACCTAATAAAATTATGTTGCAGACTCAAGGGAGATAATTTATATTTTTACCCAGGTGACACTGTATTCCATGATGAGCTCTGATCGTAGAGATGACCCAGAAGAAGGTTTGTTACTTTATCTAAAAGAACCGTCCATGAAAATGATTCCTGCTAAAAATGAAAACAAAAAAGGTAAGAAGCAGGGACATACATACTCCTCCGTTGTGTTTTGTTTGATTAGATCTAATCCCACTCAAGCACTGCTGTAATGAAAGCAAATTTCTGTTCCAAATTATGACTGGTCAATAGTCCGATTAACAACCAATACATAACTGCATAACAATGTCATTCGGGTTTAAACAGAGCTCCAAATATGTTTACGTAGCGTTACGCCCAATTAACCAGTGCATAGCAGAATATTGCAGAAAAACTAATTGTGTCACAATTGAGGCTATCAAAACGGCTACAATGTAAACAATACTGTTTGATACCTTAAATCACTGTCCAAAGTTTTAGGGAAGACCCCAGATTAAAGGAAGGGCTGTCATGTTGCTGTACTTGGGATAGATTTGATAGAACGGGAAGAATAGACACACTCCCTCAAAAGTTAAAGTATCAGAAGTCAATCCAGCAGTGGCCAGAGAGGGATTCCTTGGGCAATCGCTTCAGGAATATGCGGGACATAAAGAATTATTGGATTCCACTGTTCCACTAAATTAGTGATTTATTACACTATGAAGTATGTGGGTATGTGGTGTTCCGTGAACGAAAACAATGTGGTAACTCCCATTTGAGAAAGTAAAAGTGGGACATTTTACAGTTTTATTTTATCAATATCAGTAATTGTATATTCACAAAGCATAAAAATTCACCAGTGAAAGAGCACAAATCCAGGACTACCAAAGCCTTATAGGTCACTAGCCTGAAATTTATTATTGGTAGCCATAAATGTGACTTCATTTCATGTAAAAATATATCAAGAAACTATTATTTAATGTAAATCTCTATATTCTTTTAAAAAACAGCTTAAAACACATTTATTTAATCAGGCTTTTAACTGACTCTGTATACAATCGTTACCATGTCCATAATCTTGTTGTTTATTTATGATTACATTGTCACTTTGTAAAGTGCCCCTAAACATGTTATATGAAAGGGCGCACTATAGATATGCTGTAATAATAATAATAATAAAATAATTTTGTCGTCGTAGGTTTGTTGCAGTTACGAAATGAAATGGCGTATTATATCAGTCACCATGTTGAGAAGGAAGTAGACGAAGGTCATGTGACCTATAATCTAGGCAAGTTACCGGAACCAATCAACAGCCAGCGTTCATGTAGTAAATGTCCACAACTTTTAAACTGTGCTATATATCAGAGGTGAGCTGTATTTTCCAGAGTATGCTAAAATCGTCCGGGGAATGGGTGGCCGAATCGTTGAATGTGTGCGCGTTGGATCATAAGGTCTGTCATTGAGTCACATGGCGTGGTTTCGATTCCCAGCTTGCATGTGACTAGGAGTAGGGTCGTCTGTCTGAACCTCATGGATTTTCTTCTACAGCTAAAGGACCCCCGCAAAAGTGAATTATTGCAATAAAATAGAACCAAGTGTTAGTCCTGAAATGACCTAGTTTGTGTCAAGTGGATGTTAAACCTCCCTTTTCTTCCTCTAAAATGGCCCAATTCCAAAATGTCTCCAAATAAAGCTACAAATAGTGACTAGTATCATACATAAGGCAGAGTATATAATTATTTTGTAGCCGGTTTGATACTACTTCTGGGGCTCGCTAGCCTGGAGGTCGGGTGTTCGATCCCTGCATTGGCCGAGAAAGTTCATCCCGATTTTCCGGCGTGTTTTCCCCTTGTCAGTGATGCAGGACGGAGGGTCTGACAATGACAGCTGTCTAGTCCTTCGGATGGGACGAAAAAACAAGGTCCCATGTATACATTGGCGTGCAGGTAAAAGATCCCTTGGCAGTTGGAATTCGATATAAGAGTAGGCCATAATGCTGCTGCCTGGGCAAAAATTCCCGCATGGCACACTGTATGGCATACGACCATCTTCATTAGCCCAGTCAGAGCAGAACGGTAGGACGTTAAACCCCCATTTTCATTTCATTTGATTGTAGTCTCTGATCATTTTTTGAGGGAATTTGAGTTCCGTTATCATCATTTGAGGGAATTGGAGTTCCATGATCACTTTTTTAGGGATTTTGAGTTCCATGCAAACTACAATATTGTGAATATTAAATCTCTATAGAAGACATCAGTCCAAAATATTGTTCTCTTCCTTCATATTTACAGAGATGTGATAAATTGAAAGTTTTACGTCATTCAGCATCGTCCACAAGTATTAATGACTTCTTATCTTTCAATTAAAAACTGATATATTACGAAAACACCATTTTGTAATTTGCAGGGAACTCAAAATCCTTCAAATGGCAATCATCGACTCTAAAAGTCGACATCAATATTGATAATGTCTTATCCATATTGCCAAAACACATTCTATTGTAGATCTATTTCTATTGTCGCCTGTCTAACCTCTTGGGTTTTCTCTGGGTCCTCCGGTTTGCTCCCACTGCTAAAGACCCGAAATGACCTAGTTTGTGTCGAGTGGACGTTAAACCCTATTTCTCTCTCTCTCACTTGTCAAAATGTTGCGCTATATGTGTATAATTAAACCAGTGATTGTTTTCCACAAAATTATGTTGTGGTTTTTTTTCACCATTCTATTTGTAGATCTGTAGAGAAGTATGATCACAGAGAGAGCCATGCCATGTATCAACTGGTACCGGAATCTTTATCACATCTAACGACAGAACATCTGGATTATTTTATACATTGGATGTTATGTATGGATCTAGAAAAACAGGCAGCACAAAATACTGATATCAAACAACTCTGGTGTTCTACTAGCAGTGAAAGGTTAGTGTCCAGGGGGAATATATATCTAGTCTCCTGCACAGTCTACTGGCAGGACAAAGGTTAGTGTCGGGGGGGCAAACAACTATGGTGTTCTACTAGCATTGAAAGGTTAGTGTCAGGGGTGGGGGGGATATATCTAGTCTCCGGCACAGTCTACTGGCAGGACAAAATACTGATATCAAACAACTATGGTGTTCTACTAGCAGTGAAAGGTTAGTGTTGGGGGGGGGGGATGTATCTAGTCACCTGCACAGGACAAAATACTGATACAGGACAAAACAATTCTGGTGTTCTACTAGTAGTGAAAGGTTAGTGGTGGGGAAAAAATAGGTCTAGTTGCCTGCCCAACCTACTAGCAGGGAAAGGTTAGTGGTGGGGAAAAAATGGACCTGCTTGATTTGTCCGCCGATAGGTGAGCCGGTTTCTACTATGACGTACGCCGGTCAGGTTACGGTATCGAAGCAAATCAAGTGACTCGGCTGATGAATAATATGGCGTCGGATAATGTTATAATATTAAACCGGTTACATGACAAATCAAGCAGGGCCATTAAGTCTAGTTGCCTGCCCAACCTACCAGCTGTGAAAGGTTATTGGTGGGAAAAATAAGTCTAGTTGCCTGCCCAATCTACTAGCAGGGAAAGGTTAATGCAGGCCACCCCCTGCTCAGCTACATAAAAAAGGTTTCAAGGCTGCCGAAAGGCTCATTGATTGTGGCTCTGGTTCACTAACCAAGCATCGATGCAGATGTCAGCGAAGAGAGTTCCTTAGGATTTTCTAGTCTGGGTCCTGCTTCACGAAATTTTAACTAAGATAAAATCAAAATTTTAGTAATTTGATTGGATAATATTAGATTGATTTTAGTGCTTAGCCAATCAAAACTGAAGTATCTACTAAAATTTCGATTTTATCTTTAGTTAAGATTTCGAGAAACAGGGCCCTGGTAACAACACTGGTGCCGGTCAGATGTCTAATCATTTGGATGGAACAAAAAAACATGGTCCTTTGTATGTATTGGTGTTCAAATCAAAAAGAATTCTTGACATTTTGCATGACCTATGCCCGTCCTTATTTTGCCCTGTTAGTGCAGAAAAGTAAAACTAATAAACCCAATTTCATTTATTGCTGCCCTGACACCTTAGCTGCCTTTTGGTCTATGCTTCATTGCCTGGCAACACATGTTTTTATTTGTTTATTTTGTAGATAGCTAAGTAGAGATTGTATGGTATATACCCTTCTTCATTAGCTGGGGGGTTGGATGGCTGAATGGTTAGCGTGTGCACGCTGTATCATAAAGTCTGTCCAACCTCATGGGTTTTCTCTGGGTCCTCTGGTTTCCTCTCACTGCTAAAGACCCCTACACGCAAGCGAATTATTGAAATAAAATTAAACCTTATGTTAGTCCCGAAATGACCTAGTTTCTGTCGAGTAGACGTTATACCCCATTTCTCTCTCTCTCTCTTCATTAGCCAAGTTGCTGCAGTTGTATGTTTCGTTGCCTGGCAACTCATGTTTTTATTTGTGGTTTATTTTGTAGAGAGCTAAGTGGTGATTGTATTGCTGGTCTTGTCATTTATAAAACGGATGTAGGTCAGATATTAGCCAGTCAGAATTATTCCGAAGGTAGTGACTGTCTTATCACATTCACCAGACATCACGAGTAAGTTCTTCATTTATGTCCTGTCTTCATTGTGCAGGATGGGGGGGGGGGGGCGAGGGACAATGTATAGTCGTTCGGATGGGAACAAAAAAAAACAAAGTCCCATGTATACATTGGCATGCACGAAAAAAAAAATCCTTTGACAGACAATTAGATAAAAATAGGCCGTAATGCCACTGCCCAGTCAAAATTTACCTCTCATAGCACACTGTATGGCGTATGCCCGTCTTCATTAGCCTAGTCGGAGCAAAACAGGAGGATGTTAAATCCAATTTCATTTCTTGTTTTATAATCTATGTATTTGGGAACCAAAGAACAGATAAAACTCATATGTTTAGGCATGTGGGATTGGATCTATGACTTACATAGATGACAGATGATTAATTCAATGTGCCTCGGTATCCATGTCTATGTACTTGCATAATCTATATGTGTAAGTGATTGTCGAGATTACCAAGCCACTCATACAATTGGAATACACAGTGGAATTCTTTATATGGGTTGTGTGATGGGATCTGGAAATTACTTTCATTAACAGGGATGTGGGGTGCGGGGTGCTAGTAGTCTTATGTGTGCACTTTAGATCATAAGGTCTGTCATTAACTCAGGTGGCATGGGTTCGACCCCAAGCTTGCAGTATAGCCTGCCCAATCTCTTGGGTTTTCCCCAGTTCATCCGGTTTCCTCCCGCTGCTAAAGACCCCTACATGCAAGCAAATTATTGAAATAGAATTGTATCGTCCCGATATGGCATTAAACCCTTCTATGAACAGGTACCCGGTGAAATCTGTGAATGCCCCTTAAATTATTCTTGTATTTTCCAGTTATTCTCCAATCATGTTAAATTCTGTTGGCATGGTGAAGAATGATTTTGTTGTTATAAGTACTGAAGAGTGTCAGTTATTAGCTATCAGTACAGGTGTAATACAGAATATAACAGATAAATATATATATGTTGCTGTAGACAGGTAATTCTTATTAAAAAACATACTAAACTAGCGCTGTCTATCTACAATTAGGGGGTTAGATGGCCTGTCATTGAGACAACTGGCGTGGTTTCAAATCCCTGGTTGTACTTGACAAGGAGTAGGGTCGCCTGTCCAACCTCGTGGGTTTTCTCCGGGTCCTCTGGTTTCCTCCCACTGCTAAAGACCCCTACGCGCAAGCGAATTATGGAAATAAATTGAACCATATGTTAGTCCCGAAATGACCTAGTTTGTGTCGAGTGGACGTTAAACCCCATTTCTCTCTCTCTCTCTAAAATTATCCCACTTATTTTGCGTGGAAAATTCAACCACAAATGTGACCATTTTTAATTGAGTGGGTATCTGACCATATTCCTGAAGCAATGGTCTGAGAAATCCATCTCTGCCCATTGCTGGAATGGCTTCTGATACTTGAGCTTTTGAGGGAGTATGTCTATTTTTCCCGTTCAATCAAATGTATCCTAAGTACAGCAACATGACAGCCCTTCGTTTAATCTGGGTTCTTCCCTAAAACTTTGAACAGTGATTTAAGGTATTAAAAACGGTGAAAGTATTCTTTGTCTCCATACAGTATTGTTTACATTGTATTGGTGTTGATAGCCTTGTTTGTCAAGCAATTAGTTTTTCTGCAATATTCTGCTATGCACTGGTTAATTGGGCATAATAAAATCGTGAGTCATGACGTAACGTTATGTAAACATATTTGCTCCAATTTGGAGATTTGTTTAAAATGTAACGATGTTGTTACGCAGTCAGAAATTGGAACTGAAATTTGTTTCCATTAAAACAGTGTTTAGTGTGATTAGCTCTAATCACACGAAACACTGCGAGGAGTATGGTATATGTATCTGACTTGGATTTCTACCTTCTATTTTTACAGAGATACTTTACATACGGATAAAATTTTACAGCGTAAATTATTTCGATTAGATAAGTGTAATAATTTTAATACAATGGGATATCTGTTTACGAATTTATCACGTCTCATGTTGGATGACCCTCATAGGTGAGTTTCATAAATTAATCAAATTGTTGTTTATTGAGTTATCCTTTTAGTATTCGGTTCCCTCTTGTCTGAGGGCCTGGCAAGGGACTACGTATAATTGTTCGGATGGGACGAAAAACCAAAGTCCTGTATACACATTCATAAATTGCTTATTAATATATTCCTTTTGCAGCTTGACGGTTCCAAAACCACAAAAATGTACTGGATCATAAGGTCTGTCATTGAGTTAACTGGCACGGTTTCAATTTGCCACTTGTACCTGACTAGGAATAGGATTTCTCTGGGTCCTCCTATTTCCTCCCACTGCTAAAGACCCCTACGCGCAAGCGATTTATTGAAATAAAATTGAACCATATGTTAGTCCCGAAATGACCTTCTTTGTGTATTCTCTGCTAATGGTTCTCTGTTGTTTTTCCAATGATGTGATGAAATAATCGATCTAATTTAAAATATTTCAGTGCTAGATTAAGAGATTTGATCATTAACAAGAGGAAACCTGAATTTAATTTAACTTTATCCAAGAAATCTATAGAAAAAGGTAGGTTATTAATAAATTACATACGAACCCAAATTTATATTTAAATGCACAGATTTTGTTTCTTGGTTTACATACATTATTTCAAACATTTATTTCTTCAAAAAATTTGATAAGTAAGATCAAACGATAGAGGGTGGTTTGAATGGCGCCTTGTATCATAAGGTTTGTTATTGAGTCATCAGGCGTGGTTTCGATTCATCATGGGTTTTCTCCGGGTCCTCCGGTATTCTCCCACTGCTAAATACCCCTACGTCCAAGCGAATTGAAATAAAATTGAACCATATGTTAGTCCCGAAATGACCTAGTTTGTGTCGAGTGGACATTAAACCCCATTTTTCTCTCTCTCACAATATATAGAGAAATGAGATCACAAGCATCCAGCAGGAGTTTATTTAAAGATGATCAAGATTGGACACAATGACGGAATAACCTAAAGATAACACAGACATTTTTCAAAAAATTAAAAAGCAGAATTGTATGCTAATAATCTTCGTTCGTCCACAGATACTACTTTATTATCTGTGCCTGCTTATAGGAGACTCATAGGAAAATTATCTTTCCCTGTTAAATTTAAATCGAAGTTAAAAACACACTTGCTTAAATATTACTACAAAGTGTGACATTTGTAAAGCACTTATAAATATCACTGAATATGAAGTGCTATATAATAATAATAATATAAAAATGTTCAATTATATGAAACATTTCTAAAATATTAATTTTGTATTTTGTTCTATTTCCATTGTTACTTTTAATCTACTGTCATATTTTTAAATTAAACCAGATTGTTGTCAGTTTTGTTTGGTTGACATTTTGATATTACACTAATGTTACAAGACGCGATGCTAACAACGGAGTTTTAACTCGTGTGATGTCCTAAATTTATATGCTGTTTATTCTGTGTATGGTTGAGTTATTTAACTTCAGTGCTTATATATTTAAAGGGCAGGATGTTGGAAAGGCTATTATAGCCTAATCTTCAACCCTTCTTAAATAAAGTCATCATTATTATTATTATTGTGTCTGTTTCAGTGAAGAAACATTTTAAATCTATGAACAAGCCTCAGAAAACGGCCATTTTAAAGGTTTGTATAAAGATTTGATGTGTAAATTGAATATCGTCAGATTTGAGAATAAAATGGAGGTTAACATCCGTTTTACACAATATTTTAGAGACTAATGTATGGTATATTTTTATACGCCCACTTTTTTATGTGGACATATATTGTCATCGCCCGTGACACTCTACAGGTCACAATTTTTATCCTATTTTGATGAAACTTGAAATATAGGTTTATTTCCAAAAGATCTTGGTTCCTTTGGTTATTGGCATGATTGTACGAAAAATCATAATTTTCTTCTGATTTTGATGAAACTTGAAATACATGTTTATAGCCCAAAGATCGTGGTTTCTGGTGATATTCATGAATATCGGATCGTAACTTCCTGAATTATGGCCCGATTGTACAAAAAATTTCATTTTTAGTTTGTGGGGCCTGTAGAGGTAACAATTATTAACCGATTTGAATAGTGTAAAAGTATGTAATACAAAGGTTGTGGACCCTCTAGAAGTCACAAATTTTATCAGATTTTGATGAAACTTGAAATATATGTTTATATTGCAAAAATCTCGGTTCCTTTCGATAATCTTGCATATTGAACTGTAACTTCCTGGATTATGGCCACTGATTGTACAAAAATTCCCAGTTTTTTTGGGTTTTTTAGCTTGTTCCCTGACCATCTCTTGGAAAATGTGGGCATATTTTGCATGGCAACCGCTTGTCAATATTGATATCCCGAACATTATAACGTTCGGTGAAAATAGTCAGTGCCTGACAAATAAATGTCAACCAGATAGATTGAGTAAAGATTATGTTTGTATGTTTATTTAACAGGTATTGATGAGTAAAGATTATGTGTTAGTAAAAGGTTTCCCTGGAACAGGTAAGAAAACCTTTATTATCATTATCCGGGTCCGGGATGTAATGAGAGAGAGAAAGGGAGAGAGATCATTTCGGGACTAACACATGGTTCAATTCTATTTCAATAATTCGCTTGCGTGTAGGGTTCTTTAGCAGTGGGAGGAAACTGGAGGACCCAGACAAAACCTACAAGGTTGGACAGGCGACCCTACTCCTTGTCACGTACAACCGGGGATTCGAAACCACGCCAGTTGACTCAATGACAGGCCGTACGATACAGCGCGCGCGTGCTAACCATTCGGCCATCCAACCCCCCTTATCAAGTACAAATGAATAAGATAAGAGAACTCTTTTTGAAACGACATGTGTATAAACCTGTGATTGTTTTCCATATAAATTGTGTTGTGTTTTTTTTTATTGTACTCAATCTTAATTGCCACTTAAAGGGACAATTACACTCTTGCTGGCTTGACAGCTCCAGTAAATAAATATTAGCCTTATTCTAAGTATTAGATGTGTTAGTGTAATACCTGTTGTGTAAATTATCCATTAAATCCTATTTTACTTGTCCAGAGGGTTCGAAAATATTTTTAAATCCAAGTCTCATTTGAAAAGGTTTACGTAAGGCTTTTCAAATCATTTAGTTGAATTTTTCCAATTTTTTAAATTAGGTGTGTTAAGATGAAATTTGTATCGTCAATTAATTGGAATACTGTAAAATAGTACAATTTGTTGACCAGAATAAAGATTGGGACATATTATTCAGTTACAACAAGAGTGATATTGAGCCTTTAAGGATTATAGTCCTTTAAGATATGCAATATGAGTTAACTTTTGTCCATGATCTATGTTTCAGGAAAGACATCAACAATAGTAGCTTTAGTGAAGATATTGAGATCTTTAGGACAAACAGTTTTATTGACTAGTTATACCCATTCAGCTGTTGATAATATACTACACAAGTTAAAACAGGTAAATAACATCGGCTGTTGATAATAGACTGCATAAGTTAAAACAGGTAAATTATATAAACTGTTGATGATATACTACACAAGTTAAAACAGCAAAATTACATCTGTAAAGTGCTGACTCACTTACCTTGAGTTCTATAGTTGATCTTGGAGGTTCCAAAGTTCTTCAGGCTTTTCCACTTCCAGTCTGGTGTTCCTTTGTCTGTGGTGCAGAACAGGAGATCTGGCAAGGAACGGCATCTAATCCTGGCACAAAATACATATTGTTTCATTTTATTTGTTCCATTTTATTTGTTTTATAATTTAACATTTCATATTAAGTTGTTCAATATTAGGTTTTATCAAAGATTTATGCCAAAAACTAAGCTCTAAAGCCCTTAATCTGACAGAACGGAGTCAGGGTTCTCAGAGATTTGTAAAATGTCCCTAGGGGTTGGTGAGTGGAAAAAACATTGGGAACCAGTTCTGTAAGGCTGTCGTTTTTCTACTGTTTGCCTCCCAGCCACTGCTATGCTTAGATATATTTTATTTTTTTAGGATGGATTACCATTTTTAAGGCTGGGTAGGTTAGCTAGAATTCATCCGAATATACATGATCATTCAGCCGAAGTTTTAACGTCAAAGATTACAAGCGTTGGTGAATTAAGACGTTTTTACGCATCTCAGGTATTTACTTTAATTCCCATAATCCTTTGTTTCACAGGTGACAAACAAATTTCCCTCGTAGCACATTTCATGGTATGTTCCCAGTTGTTGTAGAAAAGTAAGACATCAAAGATCAAACCCCATTTATATTTATATCTATTTCAGAGTATAACATCCTGGGGGGTTGGATGGCTTAGTGGTTAGAACGTGCTCGCTGTATCATTAAGTCTGTCATTAAGTCAACTGGCGTGGTTTCGAATCCCCGGTTGTACGTGACAAGGAGTAGGGTCGCCTGTCCAACCTTGTGGGTTTTCTCCCTGGGTCCTCCGGTTTCCTCCCACTGCTAAAGAACCCTACGCGCAAGCGAATTATAGAAATAAAATTGAACCATATGTTAGTCCCGAAATGACCTAGTTTGTGTCGAGTGGACGTTAAACCCCATTCCCTCCCTCTGTCTAACTTCCTGGGTATTCCCAGTGGTCTTAATCCATTTTACTCCACTATACCCTGGGTTCATCCATGGGGAATGCACATATTCAAATTATCTGCCCTTGATTGTAGCTTGATTGTTTGAACCAATCAAAAAACAGTTTAAAAACAAGTCTTAGCCTCACTGTTTACGTTCACATCAATATGGCGGCTTGTTCACTCGATTATAAGAAAGTTTGCAAGAAACTTAATATAAAAGATGTGACATGCACACAAAAAGATGTCCTAAAATGTATTTTTGATGGGAAAGATCTTTTTATGTATTTGTTTGCCCAGTTGGAGCAGAACAGTAGGACGTTAAACCCTATTTCATTTCATTTATGTATTTAACAATTTTTTTGATTGGTCAATAAAAATAGCATAGTCATAAAGGGCAGATAATTTGAATACATGTGTCCCCAATTGATGAACCCAGTGGTTAGTGGAATGGAATAAGCCCACTTGGGATACCGAGTATGAGGATATAGTAGCTACGAAATGAAATGAAATGAAATAGGGTTTAAGGTCCTAATGTTCTGCTCCTAACCTGGGCTAATGAAGACGAGCATACGCCATACAGTTTATTATGAGGGAAATTTTGCCTGGGCAGCGGCGCTACCGCCTACTCTTATATCGAATGTCAACTTCCAAGGGATCTTTTACATGCACGCCAATGTGTACTCGGGACTGCGGCTTTTCGTCCCATCCAAACGGACTAGACAGCAGTCCTTGTCAGGCCCTCCGTCCTGCATCACTGACAAGGGGAAACCACGCCGGAAAATCTGGATGAACCTTCTCGATTAATGCAGGGATCGAACACCCGACCTCCAGACTAGCAAACCAGCGTCTTACCCACTTAGCCACGTGACAACCCCCCCCCCCCCACTCAGGATACTGCGGATGAGGATATATTAGCTACGAGAATATATATATATATTTCAGGGTATAGTAGCTACAAGTTGTCTGGGTACCAATCATCCTATTTTTACACAGAGACGATTTGACGTGTGTATCATTGACGAGGCATCACAAGTATTACAGCCCGCTTGTCTCGGACCTATCTTTACTTCAGATAAATTTATTCTAGTCGGTGATTCTAAACAACTCTCGCCTGTTGTACAGAGTAGAGAAGCTAGGTATGTACGGGTATCTTGACTTAAATATATATCTGGCCCCGGATTCACAAAGCTATGAGGCATTGCAATGACTGAATGGTTAGCGTGTGTGCGTTGTATTATAAGGTCTGTTATTGGGTCAACTGACAAGGAGTATGGTTGTCTGTCAAACCTCTTGGGTTTTCTCCGGGTCCTCCGGTTTCCTCCTACTGCTAAAGACACCTACTCGCAAGTGAATTATTGAAATAAAATTGAACCTAGTTTCTCTCTCTCTCTCTCGCTCGCTCTCTGAAAGCTTTCTCAGACTTACAAATTTACTCAACTTTCAATCACTGTTTATGAGAAATATCTTTGATCCAGAAACATAAAACTTTTCACATAGTTTCTTATGTATTTCATACATTAAAACAACAAAAGTTTTATAAAGGGCTATATTGCAGTTCAAATAAGGCAAACAATTTTGAGTAAATTCTTTACTTACGTCTGAGATCTAGGTATGTTGTAAATACTGTATTATTTATATCAGAGATCTAGGTATGGAGGAAAGTCTGTTTATAAGATTAGATGGAATGGGAGCTAGTTATGAACTTAATTTACAATACAGGATGAATAGGTGAGAAAGTTAAAGGGAATGGGGTTTAACGTCCTACTATCCTACTCCGCCTGGGCTAATGAAGAACAGTTTACGCCATACAGTTTGCTATGAGGGAAATTTGCCCGGGCAGCTGTGCTACGGCTTACTCTTATATCGAATTCCAACTGTCAAGGGTTCTTTTACGTGCAAGCAAATGTGTACACGGAACCTTGGTTTTTCGTCTCATCTGAATGACTATATACGTTACCCCTTGCCAGGGACTGACAAGGAGGGAACCACGCCAGAAAATCCTGATGAACATTCTAGGCCAACAACGGGATCGAACAAGAGACCTACAGGTTAGCAAGCCAGCGTCTTACTCATTGAGCCACTACGGTTCCTGAACAGGTTGAATATTAATCCTACATGAATGAACCCAGAAATTGAACCATTTTTGGACCGATATTCTTATTAGAGTTTCAACTTTCACAATATTGTAGTTTACAAGTGCTTAAAAATCTCTCTATAATTAAACATACATTATGCAAGAGCTAAATCTGCCTATTGCAATTTTTTATTTAGGCTTCAGATGTTATATAAATTATTAATTAGACCTTTATTTACATGACAAGCTCAAAGTCAACTCTGTAGACCCACGGATGGCTTGGATAAAGTTTGGATTTAAATAGTCGTCCATTTAAAATTAAATCAATAAATGGAGAACGTTTACTGTTAGTCGCTGATGTCATTACCAGAAACTGGTGATGAAAGGCCTGCCAAGTGAGGCTACCATATAGCCATTGAACATGTTACTTGATAATCGAGAATATTTGGGTGGAGTTATCGTCTCAAAGGATTGACAATTCTCATAGACGGTGCAGACACAATTGATGCCTATTTCTAGTCCAAACTTCCAACAGTAACAATTCCGTTCAGAACAAAGTAATTTGACTGAAATTTTCAACATTTTCTTTTTTTATCAACTATTTTTGAATTATTATAGCAAGAATGACCAACTCTTTATAAAACTCTTATATCTTTAACAGAGTTATAATGAAGTTAGGTAATGAACTTGTTTATGGAGGTGCTCTACAGTGTGGTAGTAAAATAGCTAGTGAAGGTTGTCTAGTATTATCTCATCCAATCAACATGTCTGTAAGTATTTCTAGTACAATCTTATCCAATCGACTTGTCTGTAAGACATTTTGCACAGGCAGTGGCACTATGGCCTACTCTTATATCGAATTCCTACTGCCAAGGGATCTTTTAAGTGCATGCCAATGTGTACACGGGACCTTGGTTTTTCGTCCCATCTGAACAGCTAGACAGCTGTACTTGTCAGGCCCTCCGTCCTGCATCACTGACAAGGGAAAACCATGGCAGAAAATCACAAGGAACTTTCTCAGCCAATGCAGGGATCGAACACGCAACCTCCAGACTAGCGAGCCAGCATCTTAGACACTTAGCCACCGTGGCTCCCCAGATTATTGGGAGGGATAACAATTTCTGGTAATTATTTAGTTATTGCTCTTGATTATGTTATGTTGTATTGTAATTTCAGGGTGAATGTGATTGGTTGAAACAAGTATTAGACTGTAATATTAACCAATCAGCTGTATTTTGTGATACTCAACAGGTTGGTTAATGATATATTTCTGCAACTATATTCATCCTAGTAGAAGTACTGTGTTTCTTTAATGTCTGCTTCCGCTGAAGTGGGGGGGTTGGATGGCCGAATGGTTAGCACATGCTATCATAAAGCCTGTCATTGAGTCAACTGGCGTGGTTTCGAATCCCTGGTTGTACGTGACAAGGAGTAGGGCTGCCTCTCCAACCTCGTGTGTTTTCTCTGGGTCCTCCGGTTTCTTCCCACTGCTAAAGACCCCTACGCGCAAGCGAATTATTGAAATAAAATTAAACCATATGTTAGTCTTGAAATGACCTAGTTTGTGTCGAGTGGACGTTAAACCCCATATCTCTCTCTCTCTCTCTCTCTCTCTCTCTCTCCGCTAAAGTGATATTGCAGATAAGACCTAGGAGAGCCAAATGTTCTTCCTGCATTTTTAGAATATGATTTTGCAGTCTTTCCATTTAAGGCCTTTAGGAATTGGTTTAGTGGGAAGTTCTTCCCTTTATTTAATAAAAAAATATATCGTTTGGTATTTCCATCGTAAAAATATAATCTCAGTTAAACTTACAATTATTTTACTTTATAATCTTCTGGGAGACGTGGAGTGGGGGCGGGGAGAGAGGGGATTCCGAATGGTTAACGCATATGTGTTGCATCATAAAATTGAACCATATGTTGGTCCCGAAATGACCTAGTTTGTATCGAGTGGACTCTAAAACCCATTTCTCTATTAACCAACTAAAGAATTAAAATATAATAAGTTAAACTTGTATATTCCAGGTACCGGCACCAGAAGTCTGTGATAAAAAAGGTGTAATTGAAAATCCTGTAGAAGCAGAAATTATCTCAACGATAATACTAACTTTGTTAAAGGTCAATGATATTCTTTCACTGTAACCTGGGTATCATTTAATCTTGTGTATCTAGCACTAATTTCTTTCACATTCATTCAATATCAAATCTTTGTTTAAAGATTCGTAAAAATTGTGTAATATCACCAAAAATCATCTAATTTGTACTTGTGTCCAATTTAAAGCTGACCATTTAATTTTGATAATGAATGTCCAATTTACAAACGTTTAATTTCTCGATCACTGTTAAAAAATAAACAACCCAATTGATTATTGATGTATAATGATTAATATTTGAACAGTGGTCAGGAAATTAAACGCTTGTAAATTGGACACTCATTAACAAAATTAAACAGTCAGCTTTAAACTGGACACAAGTAAAAATTAGATGATTTGGGGTGATTTGATATTGAATGAATGTGAAAGAAATTAGTGCTAGATACACAAGATGAAATGATACCAGGGTTACAGTGTTTTAACCCTTTCATGTCATATGTACCATATTTTGAACTAAATATGTCTGTTAGTAGTTTATCTTTTCAGTCTATTTTTTATTGCACTTTAAGGAGGTGGTCTAGTGTGCACATGAAATCAGGTGGTCTATCATTGAACCTGACAAGGAGTAGGGTCGTCTGTGCAACCTTGTGGGTTCTCTCTCTCTCTCTCTCTCTCTTTCTCTCTCTGAATATTGTGTTATAATCATCTGGAGATATTTATTTATGGTGGGGCACCTTCGATTGAAGTCGAAGGTCACCTGATAAAAGGAATTTGTCGATGAGTAACCTATTCAAATGTCTTCTGTTATGCAATGATTTCTTTCTCGATATATTTTCAGGCGGGTATTGAAGCAGTTGATATAGGAGTTATTGCTCCATACAGAAGTCAGGTCAAACTTCTCCATTCACAGTTAAAAAAGATCAAAGTTGAAGAGGTCGAGGTCAACACTGTTGATCAATATCAAGGTCGTGACAAGAAGGTCATAATTATTTCGTTTGTGAGAAGTTATTCAGAGCGTTCCAAGTCCTCGGTAAGATATGTCGTAGATTTTACAGATGGATGTAACGGATCCAAGGATTTCTTTAAAGGATCCTGAGCAATTAAATTGTAAAACTTTATTTGCCTTTATTCCATTGTCGCTAGGGGGATCACGTGGGTAAGACGCTGGCTCGCTAGCCTGGAGGTCAGGTATTCGATCCCTGCATTGGCCGTGAAAGTTCATCCAGATTTTCTTTGTCAGTGATGCAGGACGGAGGACCTGACAAGGACAGCTGTCTAGTAGTTCTGATGGGACGAAAAACCGAGGTCCCCTGTACATATTTTCGTGCACGTAAAAGATCCCATGGCAGTTGAAATTCGATATAAGAGTAGGCTGTAGCGCCGCTGCCCGGGCAAAATTTCCCTCATAGCACACTGTCTGGCGTATGCCCGTCTTCATTAGCCCAGTTTAGGAGCAGAACAGTAGGACGTTAAACCCCATTTCATTTCATTTCATTTCATTTTCATTGTCGATAATTGTATTCATTCCCCTTTTTTGGCAAACTGTGAAAATTTGAGTTCTTGAAACCAAATATAGTTGTTGATCTAGCACTGGTTGGATGCTGGTTCTCCCTCCTCTGCCTTCAACTTCCCCCCAAATTAAAAACAAAACCATTGACCCACTCTCACTCTTAACAAAGTTGCTCAGTTGCTGCATTCTATTGTAGCTAGTCGTATTCATGCCCCGTCTTTGACAAACTGAAAATGTGAGTTCATAGCGGTTGAGATATCACTGTATAGTTTGTTTTTGATCGTTACATGTATTCATGCCCCTTCTTTGACAAACTGTGGAAATTTGAGTTCTTGAAACGACATGGTGGTTGATACTGTTTGGATACTGGTGCTTCTTCCGTCACCTCCCAGGGGGATTGGATGGCCGATTGGTTAGCACGTGCACGCTGTATCATAAGGCCTGTCATTGGGTCAATTGGTGTGGTTTCGAATCTCCAGTTGTACGTGACAAGGATTAGGGTCGCCTGTCCAACCTTGTGCATTTTCTCCGGATCCTCCGGTTTCCTCCCACTGCTAAAGACCCCTACGCGCAAGTGTATTATTGAAATAAAATTAAACAATGTGTTAGTCCCGATATAACCTAGTCTGTGTCGAGTGGACGTTCAACCCCATTTCTCTCACTCTGTCACCTTCCACTTCTCGGAAATAAAAAAACAAAAACATTGACCCGCTCTTGACAAAGTTGCTTGTGTGCTACATTTTATTGTGGCTAGTGTATTATAGTCCCTTCAGTGGCAAACTATGAAAATCTGAGATCTTAAAAATAGATAGTGGTTAAGATATCCTTTGTTTTTTGTTTTTGATCAGAGAGGTGAGTTGTTAGATGATATTAAAAGATTAAATGTAGCTGTAACTAGAGCTAAGTTAAAGTTAATAATGGTCGGAGATATATCAACATTAAATAGATATACACCCTGTTCTACTATAATAACATCCATGAAAAACACAGATCAAGTATCCTTTTTATATCACCCATTTTATTGTGGATGTATTATGTTGTCCGTCTGTCACAAATTAGCTTGTGAATGTGATATAGGTTACATTTTTAACGGATCCTTAAAAAATGTGGTGTGAAGCATTGTGGTCATGAGAGGACGAACCCTATTGATATTAAGCATTCCACAACTTTCTGTTTAAAGTGCCTATTACCGGTACGGATCATAGCCTGTCATAGTCATAGTGTGTTTGCGATAAGATTTTTTTAAAGATATTTATCAAGGAATTTTGAACGTTTAGTTGCTGTGTGTACAAGGAGTCGTCTGTCCAACCTCATTGGTTTTCACCAGGTTCTCCGGTTTCCTCCCACTGCTAAACACCCCTACGCGCAAGCAAATTATTGAAAGAAAATGTTAGTCCCGAAAAGACCTAGTTTGTGTTGAGTGGACGTTAAACCTCATTTCTCTATCTCTCTTTCTCTCTCTCTCTGTCTCTACCATATGCCACGATTCATTGTGATATGTCATGATTGTCTGCAATATGCTGACCAGGGCCGTAACTAGCTCAGAGCAACGAGGGGGGGCGAGAAGTGTTCTCAGGGGTGCTGTAAAATTGACGGACAATGTATATCTATTGTTTTTATGGTCAAAAATTTTTTCACAGGAGGGGGGGGAAGGGCGTGAAACTTTATGCGGAAGGGGGGGGGGGGCTTTGCACTCTCCCTAGTTACGGACCTGATGCTGACCATAATTAACTGCAATATGCCGCGATTAAAAGAAAGAATATTATATTGAAGTGTGTGAGTCCAGCTTTATAATGTCTAAGATGTTACTTTAATTTCATCATGTTTGGCGCAATATACAGAACAGTAGGACGTTAAACCCCATTTCATTTCATTTGGCGCAATAAAGCTCGGTTGGTGCTGACTTGCCATAAAACCACTATTAGTCACTTCAATTAGCACTTTTATGATACAAATATTTAAGTTTCTTAACACATCCATAGATTATCAAATTACCCAAAGATGCCCATGTTCAACATAGTGCAGATATAGAGGTCTGAATCCGGATGAAGATTTACAATATTGATGTTGATGAAGAGAAGAAAATTGTAATGCATTGTTACCATATTGCTGGGACTATAAAATACTAATATTATGTACACACCCCTCTTTATGTTTAGCCGGTTGTAATTGACGAGGAGTAGGGTCACCTGTCAAACCGCGTGGGTTTTCTCCGGGTCCTCTGGTTTCCTCCCACTGCTAAAAGACTCCTACGCGCAAGCGAATTATTGAAATAAAATTGAATCATATGTTAGTCCCGAAATTACCTAGTTTGTGTCGAGTAAACGTTAAACCCCATTTCTCTCTCTCTCTCTCTCAATGTTTAGGGATCAAGTGGACTAATGCATGCACTTTAGATAATAGTGGTTGTCATTGAGTCAATATTATATAATGTCAATAGGTATGACATATTCTTAGAACCTACAAAAATTAAATATCGTACTAAGTCATAAATAGATTGCATAAAATAAGAATTATATATTTTATTTAATGCATACAGATTTGTATTTATTTTATTACTTCATATTGGTCGTATCAAAATGGTTTTTCAAAGAATCAATTTCAAAACTTCACCTAATTAATCATAATCCATTATTTCCACATAAAGAATTTTATTACTTCCATTCATGTAATTATCATGAAATTGTAAATCATTGATTCATCATCATCATATTATATTTCTGTGATAAACTGGTTTACAATCAAATCATACTCTCAGAGTTATTATTTAGTAACTTATAGAAATTGGTCAAAGGGAGATAACTGCAGTTTGTAATTTACCGATCACATGACCAAACCTTTCAAACTGTCATAACATAACAAGTTTGGATTTTACTTATGAGTAAGTAATAGAGTAATTGAATGCATTTTAATTGGCTCATAATGTAGGTCATTGCAGAAGGAAAAGGGGTGGAGCCATATGGGATGTCTGTACCATTTTTTCCAGGGTTGTCACAGTTAGCTTGGGCTGCTGAATGTTGTGTTTATTTACTTGGTTGCTAGATATAGATTGTTTTTGTTCTGATAGTGATGGAGATAATTTGCAGATGTTGATATAATATTGTATTCATATAACTACAAGGCAGGTGTTAATTTTAATATCAAATCAGAGTTCTAAATATGGGTTGTCAAATTTATGTTTACCTATTTCTGACACTCGGTATAGTATTGTTTGTTCATTGTGTAAGATATGAGCCTACTTGGAAATCACTTGACAGTCGTCCATTACCAGAATGGTATGATCAAAGTAAAATAGGTATTTTCATACACTGGGGAGTTTTCTCTGTTCCAAGTTTTGGATCGGAATGGTTCTGGTATTACTGGAAAGGATCCAAAATCAGAAGTTATGAGATGTTTATGGAAGAGAATTATCCTCCTGGCTTCACTTATGCTGATTTTGCCTCCCAGTTTCATGCAGAATTCTATAATCCAAAGAAATGGGTGGACATTTTTAAAGCTAGTGGTGCCAGGTTAGTGTTACAATATTCAATTCAATATGCAATGATTCTCTTGCTTCAATTTGTAATAATCCCCTTGCTTCATTGTAATAATTCCCTTGCTTCATTTGTAATAATTCACTTGCTTCAGTGACCATCCATCACGGCTAAATCTATTTGTTAAGGCCAACTCAATTTTTGTCAATGTAATAATCCTTTGTTTTAATGACCATCAATCACTCAGTCCAACATATATACCCCAGATTTTTGCAATATTTAGTGTTAATTGTTGACTGTCATTACCAGTTATTAATAATTACAAGAAACACACCCACTGAACTGTGATATTTGATACCACTTACGTTTATAAGAGTTTCATCTTTGATATTTGTAAATAGGACTACAGTTTCCTTTCAAGTCCTTTAATACAGTAACACAACCACTGGTTTATTATAGCCCACAAAAAAAGAATGAATGTTTTAGTCTATATATATTGGGGGGGGGGGCCGAATTGTTAGTGTGTTGTATCATTAGGTCTGTCATTGAGTCAACTGGCTTGGTTTCGATTCCCCGGTTGTATGCGGGTTTTCTCTAGGTCCTCCGGTTTCCACCCACTGCTAAAGACCCCTTTGTACAATTGATTTATTCAAATAAAATGGAACCATATGTTAGTCCCCGAAATGACCTAGTTTGTTTCGAGTGGACGTTAAACCACATTTCTCTCTCTCACTTATTAAAAGCTGCTGGCTGTCATTTGAGGGATTTTGTGATGAAAGTTGAATCTCTAAATCAGCAATGTCAGTTCAGCATTGACAAAGCTATGAAGAACTGAAAATTTGATGGGCATCTTTTTAATCTGAGGGGACTGGGTGGCCAAATGGTTTGATGTGTGCGCATTATATCATTAGGTCTGTCATTGAGTAAAGTGGCGTGATTCGATTCCCCACTTGTACATGTCAAGGAGAAGGGTCGCCAATCTAGCCTCGTGGGTTTTCTCAAGGTACTCCAATTTCATCCAACAGCTAAAGACACCTACATTATTGAATTATAATTGAACCATGTGTTAGTCCCAAAATGACCTAGTTTGTGTCGAGTGACCATTAAATTTATTTTTGCTTCAAATATATTTACTGACAATGATCCCTATGAATAAATTTATTACAGATATGTTGTACAAGTTACTAAACATCATGAAGGTTTTACCAGTTGGCCATCAAATCATTCCTTTAACTGGAACGCCATGGCTGTCGGACCAAATAGAGATCTTGTTGGTTTGTATATTCTTATATCTGTGATTCGATCTGGATATTTCAGCGCAGTTTCCCCTTGTCAGTGGTGCAGGACGGAGGACAGCTGTCTAGTTTACTGGATAGTACAAAAAATTTAGGTCTTGTGAACACATTGACATACTGTGATATTCTGAATGTATTAGAAATTCAGAATTAGATGTTGCTGATTGCTATTCATGGGATTTTGAATGATATTTGATATTAGTTCCCAAAATGACCTAGTTTGTTATGAGTGGACGCTGCTCTCTCTCTCTCTCTCTCTCTCTCTATCTCTCTCTGGATTTTGAATGATATTTGATGTTGATTTGAATTTTGTTTATTATAGGTGAATTAGCTGATGCTGTTCGTAGTAATTCTGATTTACATTATGGTGTTTATCATTCGTTATTTGAATGGTTTAATCCGTTATATAATATGGATAAAGCTGCTAATTACACTACTAATGTCTATGAACAGGTATGTATATACATGTATATTGAGTTCTTAAGGGTAGCACTTCTTTTAGACTATGGAGAGAGCCCCTGGTGCCTCGGTATCTGGCTCGCAAACTAGAAGTTCATGAGGGTAGCACTTCTTTTAAACTATGGAGAGAGCCCCTGGTGCCTCGGTATCTGGCTAGCGAACTAGGAGTTCATGAGGGTAGCACTTCTTTTAAACTATAGAGAGAGCCCCTAGTGCCTCGGTGTCTGGATTGTGAACTAGGAGTTCATGAGTTTGATCCTGGTGTTGGCTTAGAAAGATCCTCCAGATTGTCCGACATGGTATTTCTATGCCAGTAAGTAGTGCATTAAAATTTATTGGGATTTTAATACGCCCACATTGAAATGTGGTCGTATATTACCATCAGCCCCATTGATCCACCCGTCCGTCCACACTTCGATCACTTTGAAATATCTTGTAAACACTCTAGAGGCTAAAGTTAATATCCGATTGACTTTAAATTTATACACAGTGTTAATGGTCATGAGACGTGGAATCTTATTGATTTTCAACAATTTCCTATAATTAACTGCTGTGGGTGTATGTTTCATTGCCTGGCAACCTATCTTTTTAGTTTATATAAATACCACGTTCAGTCACTGTAGAACCAAAGTGTGTCCTGAAATCACATGACAAAACAAGCCACTGTCGTTATCTTTGGAATGACGTATTGAAATATCTTGTATTATATGTTGATGTTTGCAGACGAAATCGTCACCAGAATTATATGAACTAGTAAAGAGATATAAACCGGATATAGTCTGGTCAGATGGACAAATGGGGGCTGATTCTAATTATTGGAAATCAAAGGAATTTCTTTCATGGCTCTACAATGACAGGTCTGTATCCATATAAATCTTACACAGCCCATAAAATCACTGAGCTCCGTTATTGTTACAAAAAACATGCGGCTTAATCCATGCATACATCTACTTCACTGATTAAACTTTTATCTGGCTTCAAATACTTTAGTACTCTACTTTTATTTTTCAGTCCAGTAAAGGATCGAGTTGTTGTCAATGATAGATGGGGCTCAGAAACTAAATGTAAACATGGTGGATATTACACATGTCGTGATCGCTATAATCCAGGTAATAAAATATGATTTATAGAAGATTCAAACCAGATTATCACTTTAAGTTATCAGAGATTTAAAGCAACCTAGTAGGCTACATATGATCATCATTTCAATCTTATTTATGATAATTATATAACTTTTTTATGGTTATTATTTAACTCTTTTAAGATAATTATTTAATTCTTTTATGATTATTATTTAACTCTTTTATGATAATTATTTAACTCTACTCTTTTTTGATAATTATTTAATTCTTTTATGATTATTATTTAACTCTTTTATGATAATTATTTAACTCTACTCTTTTTTGATAATTATTTAATTCTTTTATGATTATTATTTAACTCTTTTATGATTATTATTTAACTCTTTTATGATTATTATTTAACTCTTTTATGATTATTATTTACTCTACTCTTTTATGATTATTATTTAACTCTTTTATGATTATTATTTAACTCTTTCATGATTATTATTTAACTCTTTATGATTTTTATTTAACTCTTTTATGATTATTATTTAACTCTTTCATGATCATTATATAACTCTTTATGATTATTATTTAACTCTTTTATGATCGTTATATAACTCTTTTATGATTATTATTTATGATAATTATTTAACTCTTTTCTGGTTAATATGTATCCAACTCTGTTATGATGCTTATTTAACTCTTTATGGTTATTATTTATGAGTATTATTTGACTCTGATTATTAGTTAACTATGTTATGATGCTTAATTATTTTACTCAGTTATGATCATTAATTAACTCTTTTATGATGCTTATTTAACTTGTATTATTATTGTTTGTGGTCATTATTGAACTGTTTTGTGATAATTATTTCAGGAACACTTCAGAAGAAAAAATGGGAGAACTGTATGACTCTTGATTTACATTCGTGGGGTTATAGAAGAAGAGCGAATATAAAAGACATCATTACCATTGAAAATCTTATTGCTACAATAGTTGAAACAGTCAGGTAGGACATTTTAATATATCTGAAGTATAATATGAAAGTAGAAATAGGTGTGTTCTTCTGTCATTACACACTAATTATAACAATTTAGTACTAATGGCTTTTGAGAAACAAACATTTAACAATTTGAAGCTAAAGGTTATTGAGAAGAGCAATCCAGTACTCTGTATTTTTAAAAAAAAAAAAAAAAATTCCCAACATGAAATAAATAGGCAAAATTTTAATAGGTGTTCTCGTAAAACCAATTTCAAATGAGTGTGGCCTAATCTGCTCTTGTCTTATAATTTCAGTTGTGGAGGGAATATCCTGATTAATGTGGAGATATATTGTCGCGGTATTGATGATCTTGTCTTATAATTTCAGTTGTGGAGGGAATATTCTGATTAATGTGGGACCAACAAGTTCTGGTATTATTGTTCCTATATTTGAAGAAAGGTTGCGACAGATGGGACAATGGTTGGCAGTAAATGGAGAAGCCATTTATGCATCCAAACCATGGACATATCAGAATGATACCTTGACTCCGAAAGTATGGTAAATATCAGAGTAGCAGTTTCAGACGTTTAGCTGTCCATTGCCATGGCCCATAGGCGTACGGGGAAATTTTTGACTGGGGGGGGGGGGGGCGTTGGTGGTTGATGCCCCAAAAGGAGTTAGGTTCTTAGTATGTTACATAATAATAATAATAATAATAATAATAACTTTATTTTCTTATAAAACTACAAATATATATATTATTTACAGACAAATGATCTAATAACGATGAAATAATGTTTTAAAATTTAAAACAAGCAAATAGCAAATAAAAGAACAAACAAACACATATACAATACTGTCTGAGTACCGACTATATTTCCGATCCGAATGCTGCTAATGGTGTTTTGTTTTTTACAAAATCGCGTATGAATAAATATGCATTTTAAGTGATTCTGAGGAGTTTTTACCAAATAAAAAAAAGTTTAATTTTTATTTGAAGGCCCATGACAGGTTCTACAATATCTCTTTTGCGATGAATAAATCATCAATACAAGAGAACTAATTTTATGTACTTGTAATATACACATCTAAAAACAGATGTTTATGTAACTGTAACTCGTGGCTTACTGTACTCCAAACAATAGAGGGTACCAGTCTTAAGATTTCTATTTAATTGCCTACTTGTAGACACTCTGAATTTAAATTCGCTGTTAAATTGGACACATTCAAGAACACAATATTTTTTTTATACAACTTTTACAAAGTACAATTGTGTGCAAAAAATTTTCCCAGCATTTGGTTCCCAAAATGGGGGGGCCGCCCCCCCCCCCCAACTCGTACGCCTATGCCGTGGCCTGGGTATTCGAATGTTCGACCACTGATCCCTGAACTAGGTATCTTTCCCTGTATTGACCATGAAAGTTCAGCAAGGTTTCTCTTTGTCAGTGGTGTAGGACGAAGGATATATACTCCTTCGGATTGGACAAAAAAACTGTGGACCTGTGTACACTTTGCCCTGCAGGTAGAAGAACCTTTGAAATTTAATCAAGAGTATGCGGAAACGTCGCTGCCTGGTCAAAATGTTCCTCACGACACACTGCATGGTTTATGTCTTATTTATTTCTTTTAACATTTTAAACTAGCAACCTATCTTAAACTATATTTAGAACTGGTTGTTCTTTCTTTCAGGTATACATCACAAAACACCAGTCAGGGTCTGTCTAAGAAAATAGTCTATGCATTGGTGCTGGAATGGCCGAAAGATAACGTATTGGTATTGAAATCACCAATTGCTAGCACAAATACCACTGTGTCCTTGGTTGGGTATCCTGGAACTTTCAGTTTCAGTCGCCTATCAAACCAAGGTATTTCGATAGAGATACCAATCATCAGTTTTAACCTTATGCCATGCTCTTGGGCCTGGGCTTTCAAGTTAACTAATATTGTTAATTAATAGTTAACTAATATTGTTAATCAATAGTTAACTAAGATGGTTAATTAATAGTTAACTAAGATGGTTAATTAATAGTCAACTAATATTGTTAATTGATAGTTAACTAAGACGCTTAATTGATAGTTAACTAAGATGGTTAATTGATAATTAACTAATATCGTTAATTGATAGGTAACTAATATTGTTAATTGATAATTACAGCCCCGTTGATCAGGATGGTAGGGCCTAGCATGGTTTCCTCCCCTGTCAGTTGATCAGGACGGTAGGGCCTAGCAAGGAACAACATCGAGTTCCTCAGATGTAAAATGGATGTCCATTAAAACTTCGTCAACATTCCAATATTTATTTTATATCAATTATCTTTTGTATTTATTTTGAGATTATCTTTGCTGTGTATTGTTTGTACTATGGTATGTAGAAACTGCCTATGCTGTATTCCTGTACTGTTTGTGCTATGGAATTTTAAGGCTGTTTTCGCTGTGTATTGTCTATACTACGAAATATGTAGAAGCTGTATATTGTATGTTCTATGATATGTAGAGATATCGTTACTGTATTCATTTTCAGTTTGTACTACGGAATGTTGAGACTGTCTTCGCTGTGTATTGTCTATACTACGGAATGTTGAGACTGTCTTCGCCGTGTATTGTCTATACTACGGAATGTAGAGACGGTCTTCGCCGTGTATTGTCTTTACTACGGAATGTTGAGACCGTCTTCGCTGTGTATTGACTATAGGCTACTACGGAATGTTGAGACGGTCTTCCCTGTGTATTGTCTGTACTATGCTATATCATGACTTTCTAATATGGAAAGTAAAATGCACAAGGACTCCATATTTTGAGCTAAGAGTATTTCATCTTAAATTTTCTATTATACATGCATAATAATTTGCTCCAAAATTATTGTTTTAATAATCTTTGTTCAAATAAATTTACTTTTTCCATTTATAGATTTGGTTTTCTTTTTAACAGCAATCGTCTGTGTAACAGGGCCGTAACTAGCTCAGAGCAACGAGGGGGGCGGGGAGTTTTCTCAGAGGTGCTGTAATATTTATGGACAATGTATATCTATTATTTTTATGGTCGAAAATAGGATGAAAGGATCTAATGATAAGATGACTGTGTGTATTGGACTTCTTTATGTGTATTGAACTTCTTTATGCGTATTGAACTTCTTTATGTGTATTGATCTTCTTTATGTGTATTGATCTTCTTTAGGTGTATTAGACTTCTTTATTGCCACAATGCAGGAACAAACATTAAAAGTCATTACATCTATAATTCAAAACGACCGAAATTGTCCGACCACGAGTAAGCTCAATCGGACATAGTGTACTGAGTGTATATCTACTACTCAACCCGATTATCGTTGATAATAGGCTGGATTGATTAGGTAATTATCGTGTTACACCTTCTATACACCTACCTCTATTAACTACTTAATCTGCCATGCTTGACTGACTTAATCTGCCATGCTTGACTGACTTAATCCTTTGTCGGACAATTCATTATGGATAATATTAAGTTAGAGGTTTAGCCCCTTTCAATTTCAAGTGCTTATGATCAAATGACATTTTAATCCATGGAGTCAGCAAGAAATAAGTTATAATTAGGTCTATTACAGATTTTTTTTGGTCTCCCTTTAATTCCGGTTAATTGGGAATAACAAGTGAAGATATGGATATATGAATGAAATAATTATAAAGTCACATAATAGCGCTAAAAGATTTATGTTCCGTGCAGATAAAGATCGTATTTAGCGAATTAATGTTCCGTATAGATTTTATCTAGCGAATAGGATGTACATAATTAATGAATTTTTAACAGACGAATGATTCTAAAATATTATGTTACTAATGTGACTGTCTTTCAGATAGAGCAAGCCGAGGTGGGGTGGTGGGGGGGGCTTCTCCAATATATCATAATAGCGTGGTTTTGATCACAAGCTTATGCGAGTGGGGTTTCCCCGCCCCCCACTACTAAAGAACCCTATGCAGAAGGGATTTATCGAAATAGAATTGTACAATATGTTAGTCCCGAGGTTACCAAGTTTCTCTGTGCTGGTAAGATTTTCACACTGATGTCTATTTCAATGTAACTATGGTAACTGGTAAGATTGTCATACTGATATGTAAATATGGAAATTAACAGGTAAGATTTTCATACTGATATCTATTTGGATGTGACTTTTATAACGGGTAACATTTTCATATTGATGTCTATTTGAATCTAACTATGGTAACTGGATAATGTGAGGGATCAATTAGCCAATGAAACGGGTCTGTTACGGCGAGTTTTTGGCGTGAGGTGCACGGAGCTGTGCGTAAGTCACTGGAAACATCAAATGTCTGACGTCATAGGTCAAAAGCCTCTCGTATGACCTCTGACGCGACCTTCTACTACAACCGATCAGATCTTCATGTAGTGTAGGCCATCGAAAGTGTAAAAAACGAAACGAAACGAAACGAAATATAGATGTGTATTTTAATTAGATTGATTTGTTTCTTACATTGTCTATATAACTGCACGGGTACAACGTCATCATACATACTACTCTAAGACAGGTGCCACGGCGACTCAGTGAGTAAGACGTTGACTTTTTAACCAGAAGGTCCCGTGTTCGATCCCTGCATTGGTCTAGAAAGTTCATCGGAATTTTCCGGCGTGGCTCCCTCGTGTGATCGGTGTAAGAGACGATGTATAGTCGTTCGGGTGGGACGAAAAATCGAGATCCCGTGTACGCGAAAGATCCCTAGGCAGATGGAATTCGATATAAGAGTAGGCCATGGTGCCGTTGTCCCTTATAGCACTTAAGCCCCATTCCATTTCATTTCATCTCCACTCTAGGTCGATCAGTGGCTTTCAATGAGCGTTGTCATTATCAAACGGGTGTAATTACAGCTATTTGGTCATTAATCAGTTCTAATAAGCGATGCTAATCATTCAAAAATTAACAACAGACTCTCTCTCTCTCTCTCTCTCTCTCTCACACACACACACACACACAAACACAGAGCTGTAAAAATTAACAGATTCTTTATCTGCCCCTTTAATGGCGCTGTGTACATCACAATTCAGTTTTTCTGTCTCATATCAAACAGGATACGAGGAACGTTATCTATTTGGCAGATCAAAAATCAATCTGCAATGATTCGGCGTAATTCAATACACAATATTATATATTTATATCTGTAATTTATCAATCTCCTGTCGTATTTAATTCTGGTAAAAAAAGAATAAATCATCGATTGAGATTATCAATTTAGTCCGGTTAATGGAAATATGGTTTATGATTTCTCAAGTTTGAGATGCTTAATCAAAATCCAATAATTCAAACGCCAGCAATACAAGAATAATTGAACAGTTCCACAGCTTAAATTACTCTTGCTGTTTTGATGGACTGTTTGATCTAGGCGTGGTTGCCT